CCTTTTTGCGAGATCTTCCGAGCGGAATCGGTAGTGACAGAGGGAAAGCGCATTTGCAAAAAGGCGCCAGGGGTCCGCCTGTCGGCCCGTTGGCCCATCGGGCCATCGAGTCGGGTCCGCCCCGCCCCGCCCGGCCCGCCGTGAGAGAGACAGAGAGGAAAGAAAAGGGAAAACGGAGGGAAGAAATCCCCTCCGCGAATCCGATTTGGCGCGACAGCGCGCCGCGCCGGCGATCTGCTGGTAATCGGGTTCACATATGTGCCTCGGGAGCCCCGGGACGGCCGGGCCCGTCGCATCGAATCGCGAATCGCAATCTAATTTACGGCCGCGGCGAACTGCAATGTGCAGCAAGACGACTCGGCCGCGCCTCGCGCCTCAGCCTCGCCGGTCTCCGTTTGCGGTTGGCAGCGCTGTCGCCTAATTTACGGACCTAACCTCAAATCGGCGCGCCAAAATTCGCGCGCCAAAATTCGCGCGCCAAAATTCGCGCGCCAAAATTCGCGCGCCAAAATTTTGGCGCGCAGAGCGGGTTGGAACTAACGGTGCCGCCGAGGACGAACTCGTGTCACCGTGTGTGTGTGCGTGTTGTGTGTCGTGTGACATGACACGACTGCCCACTCCTCTGCCGCACACCTCCCACGGTGTGTGCGTCCCGAAAGCTTTCCTTTTTCGCCGCTGAGTTGGCGACACTGCCGCGAGGCCACGGCACCGCCACCACGGTGTGTGCGTCCCGAAAGCTTTCCTTTTTCGCCGCTGAGTTGGCGACACTGCCGCGAGGCCACGGCACCGCCACCACGGTGTGTGCGTCCCGAAAGCTTTCCTTTTTCGCCGCTGAGTTGGCGACACTGCCGCGAGGCCACGGCACCGCCACCACGGTGTGTGCGTCCCGAAAGCTTTCCTTTTTCGCCGCTGAGTTGGCGACACTGCCGCGAGGCCACGGCACCGCCACCACGGTGTGTGCGTCCCGAAAGCTTTCCTTTTTCGCCGCTGAGTTGGCGACACTGCCGCGAGGCCACGGCACCGCCACCACGGTGTGTGCGTCCCGAAAGCTTTCCTTTTTCGCCGCTGAGTTGGCGACACTGCCGCGAGGCCACGGCACCGCCACCACGGTGTGTGCGTCCCGAAAGCTTTCCTTTTTCGCCGCTGAGTTGGCGACACTGCCGCGAGGCCACGGCACCGCCACCACGGTGTGTGCGTCCCGAAAGCTTTCCTTTTTCGCCGCTGAGTTGGCGACACTGCCGCGAGGCCACGGCACCGCCACCACGGTGTGTGCGTCCCGAAAGCTTTCCTTTTTCGCCGCTGAGTTGGCGACACTGCCGCGAGGCCACGGCACCGCCACCACGGTGTGTGCGTCCCGAAAGCTTTCCTTTTTCGCCGCTGATTTGGCGACACTGCCGCGAGGCCACGGCACCGCCACCACGGTGTGTGCGTCCCGAAAGCTTTCCTTTTTCGCCGCTGAGTTGGCGACACTGCCGCGAGGCCACGGCACCGCCACCACGGTGTGTGCGTCCCGAAAGCTTTCCTTTTTCGCCGCTGAGTTGGCGACACTGCCGCGAGGCCACGGCACCGCCACCACGGTGTGTGCGTCCCGAAAGCTTTCCTTTTTCGCCGCTGAGTTGGCGACACTGCCGCGAGGCCACGGCACCGCCACCACGGTGTGTGCGTCCCGAAAGCTTTCCTTTTTCGCCGCTGAGTTGGCGACACTGCCGCGAGGCCACGGCACCGCCACCACGGTGTGTGCGTCCCGAAAGCTTTCCTTTTTCGCCGCTGAGTTGGCGACACTGCCGCGAGGCCACGGCACCGCCACCACGGTGTGTGCGTCCCGAAAGCTTTCCTTTTTCGCCGCTGAGTTGGCGACACTGCCGCGAGGCCACGGCACCGCCACCGCCGCCGAGGGCGTTGAAAATGTCGCTCCACGTTGACCTTCCCTCCGCGACAGCAGCCACCCTCTTTAAAAACAAAACGCGCTCGAAAAAAAATTGGCCACGGTGCGGGTATTCGAACCCGCGCCCGAGGAACTCGCCTTACTTACATGTGGCTGCGGCGCTCCCGCGCGGACGGGCTAAACCGGCTTGCTTAATCAATCGAGTCTCGAGGAGAGGCTCAAGGGGAGCGACTGAGCAACATCCTGGCGACGGGGTCCGCAGTTCGTCGGTGAGGGTGGCGGCGCCGGCCGCGCCGGTCGGCCGGAGTCGAATGGGACTCAAAAGCGCGCGTCGCGTGCCGGCCGGGCCGACACTGTAATTGCCGTCGCGGTCGTCGATTGGCTGGGCCGCTAATCACTCCCTGGTGGTCGCTTCGCGGTCATTTCGTTGTCACTTCGGTGTCACTCCGGCCGCGGTCACTGCGGGGTCGCTTGATTGTCACTCCGTGGTCACTTTGTTGTCGCTCCGCGCTGCGTGCTCCACGCGAGATGCCCCATCCCCGATACGGCGCGCAAACACCAGACAGTCAGACACCTAATACTCGGCCAGTGGTCGCCACTCCGTTGCCACTCGGCCCTCCGGCACTCGGCCGGGTCGTTTCGTTTCGTCGTTTCGAGGCCCGGCTCCTCACTTTCGACGAGGCGGTCGCGTGCGCTTGCGGCGCGCCGCTCGCAGCGCCACCTGTCGGCCGCACAGTGGGCCAGAAGACCGGTGGAGGCGGCCAAAACTCTAGACGCGTTTTGAGCTGCAAAGTCGCTAAACAGGGCTTGAACCGAACGCGTGACCCCACCAATGGATTCCTTGTTCGGAGAGCAATCCATTGGTGGGGTCACACGTTCGATTCGAGTCCCGTTTAGCGACTCTGGAGCTCAAAACGCGTCTAGAGTTTTGGCCGCCTCCGCCGGTCTTCTGGCCCACTGTGCGGGGGAAGCCAAGCCAAGCTAGGGAAGCTAGCGAAGCACGCCACAAATCGGTCGCCATTCGTCGCTGCAATCGGCAAATGCGTTTCGAGTTCGAGAGCTCGAACTTTCCTTTCCGAGTGACGGGCGCGGCAGGGCGAAGGAAGGGCGCGCATCGCCCATTTTGTAATTAGCGTGTAGAGCCCCGCTGCCCGGGGCTTGCCCTGTGCGTGACCAAGGATGGGTGCGGTCTAGCGGCGACTCGCGCCATATGTGACCGCGAGCGACCGGCCCGCCGTGTAATGGCTTTGGCCGCGCTGCCTGTCGCCGAATGATGAGCCAGGTCGGCCAGCAACCAAAACAAAAACGAAAAAAAAGAAAGGAAGCCGGTTCCGGTCATTTGCCAGCAGCTGCAGAGTTTAGGACCCGCTGGCCTGGCGCCTGGAGGGCTGCAGGTCGCCCTGGGGACCATAACTCGCGTTCCTTCTAATGGCACGAATAAGTGGGCAACATTTCACCCGCTTTACATATTGCCGAGGGTCAGCGCGCGCGGTCTTCAGAATAAAGGCCGGCCGGCCCCGACCTCCTGCTTGGAGATACTTTGTTTTGGCTAAAGACCGGCCGCACCCCGCCGCGCCCCGCCCCGCCCCGCCACGCCCCTCGCAAAGTGGCGAGAGGCGCTCTCACGACCGGCTGGCCAGCGGGGGGCGCCGCGCCTCGCCGCGCCTCGCCACGCTTCCACGCCCGCTCCGTCAGCTCCAGCGCCCCGCACGCTCCGCACGCGCGGCGGGAGAGTTTAAAAAGATTTACCAGCTTGTTAGGAAAGGCGCACGCGCCGGCGATATCAGCGAGGAAACACTTTGCTCTCTCTCTCTCTCTCTCTCTCTCTCTCTCTCTCTCTCTCTCTCTCTCTCTCTCTCTCTCTCTCTCTCTCTCTCTCTCTCTCCCTCTCTGTCTCTTCGTGTGGTATTTTCGCAGTGTGCTCGCTCAGTCCTCTGAGGAAGCTATCCAGACCCCCCGACAGATCTGAAAACCTCGTGTGTGTGTGTGTGTGTGTGTGTGTGTGTGTGTGTGTGTGTGTGTGTGTGTGTGTCTACGTCAACCCAACACCTCTTCGCTCCTTTTCTGCCATCGGCCGGAGACACCTCGGCACCTTACACTCCATAAAGCTGGGCGGTGGAGGCAACAAAAACAACATCGACCAAAAAAAAATCGACGAAAATCGACACTGCTTACAAAAGAATTCAAGCACTATGTTTAGACGTCGTTTTTTTCCCTGCCGGGAAAATTGCTCCTTTTCTAAGTGGCGCGCGGGGCGGATAGGAGGAAGAAGGCCAGAAAATGAATATGGCCAAGGTCATCGCGATTATCAACATGGTGCTGCTAATTAAAATAAGTAAAAAGAGTTTTCGGGCGTGGCGCGCGGCGCGCAGCACCAAGGCAGCGGCGGGGGGGAGGGGGGAGGGGGAAAGGGGGGTGCGTAATCTGCTACCCCATTCATTAACCGCTGTTCAGATAAAGTGCCGATACGTCCAGCAACACACCATGGCAGCGCCACGCAGCGCCGCCACTCCCCGCTACACTGCCAAAGAAGCGGCCCGGTTTCACAGTGGGGCGGACCTGCCGCCTCTTCACTGTGTAAACCGAGGAGTATACGCATTTACAGCACATGCTGCGAGTACGCTCGTGTATGCGCGCAATGCATAATGGTGCGGCGGGGCGGGGCGTTGCAACGTTGCAGGCAACAAGTGCCCTCCGGACGAGTCTCTAATCTACAAAGAGAGAGTCACAGAGTACTACCCACAAAAAGAAACAGTTTTACCCTTGACCTTCCATTTCCATGTTTGCTTATTTTTTTGCATTTTTTTAAGGAAATTTTTATTTGTTTTGCGGACGCTTTTTCTAAGCACCATGTGTCGCTCTGTTGCAGGTTTTTCCTTAAGTTTTTCCTGAAATGCAACCAAAACTGCCTAAAAAACGCCGGCAACCCCAGGGACATGCGTCGGTTTCAAGTGAGTGTCCTTCAACACGCTGCGAATACTCTACAAACTGAAGTGTGTACTCAGTATGCGTCTACAGATGCATACTTGCAAGTACACACCTACAGATGCATACTTGCAAGTACACACATGCATACTTGCAAGTACACACCTACAGATTCATAGTTAAATGAGTACACATCTACAGATGCATACTTAGCTGAGTAAGATGCATACTCAGCTGAGTACACGTCTACATATGCATACTTGGCTGAGTACACACCTACAAACGCATACCTAACTCATCCCAATATGCATTTGTAGATGTGTACTCAGCTGAGTATGCATCTTTAGACGTGAACTCAGCTGAGTATGCATCTGTAGATGTATACTCTTCTAAGTATGCATCTGTAGGTGTGTACTTGCAAGTATGCATCTGTAGACGCATATTGAGTACACACTTCAGTTTGTAGAGTAGTGCGAGGACGGTCGCCAAACTAACGCGTTCGCTCGCTCTCTCTCCAGGTTGTGATATCGAGCCAGATAGGCGTGGAGGGCCCGCTGCTCGCCGTGTCCGACAACATGTTCGTCCACAACAACTCCAAGCACGGCCGGCGGCCCAAGCGGATGGACGCCAGCGACGGCGAGGCCGACACGGACTCAGGTAAGAGTACGTAACAAAACAAAAACAAAACAAAAACAAAACAACAACAAAAGGAAAACATTGAATAAAATGGGTCGGATGCATGGAGCGCATGGAGTCGTCCGGCAGTGCCTTCTGATTGGGCGAGGGTGCCCCTTGGGAGTGGTGGGTGGTGGAGGGGCGGAGGCCTTGAGGGTGGCGCCTAACCCCAAGGGGCTCAGGAGGGAAGCGGCCAGAACGACACAAGGGGGAGGGAGGGACCAGGCAGGGCCGTGCCGGCGGTGCACGCACCCACGCGACTCCGAATATGTGTATTTGAATTGGAAACGTCCTCATCCCAACGACACTCTTCCCTCTCTTTCCCCCGCGAGAGGGGGAGGCCCTCCGCGGAGAGATGTCTCTGTCTCTCTGGTGAGACGGCGTGGCAATCACTTGGCGGACCTCAAGTTGAACGGTTCGACGGTCGCGAGAAAAAGCGGCTTCACTGACTGAAAAACCAAACGTGGTCTAGACCACACCAACTGGTGTGGTCAAATGGGTGCCATTTTGACTCGCATTTTGACCACATCCGTTGGTGTGGTCTAGACCACGTTTGGTGCGAAAGACCACGCCAAACGTGCCCAAACGTGGTCTAGACCACACCAACTCATGTGGTCAAAATGGCACCCATTCGACCACACCAGTGGTGTGGTCTAGACCACGTTTGGTTTTTCAGTGCTGTCACGAGCCCACTCAGAGGTGGAGAAGCCGCCGGGTCTTCATCCCATTATTCTAGGTAGGAGAAAAAAAAAACAAGTTTTCTGGGTGTTCGAACCCGAGAGCGACGCGGGCAGGTCCAAAGTCCGAACAGGGACGGACGACGCGCTTGAGAAAGCGAGTGGGGTTTCGGAAAAAGAGAAGAAAAACGTTTTGGGCTGCGGCGATGGGTCGCTGGGCTGCCGTGGGCTGCCAGGACAGGCCCGGTCCCGCCCGGAGCTAAACTGCCTCCAACTTGGGTTCCTTTTTGCGTGTACCCTTGTAAGATATATGGATCAATTTCCTTGCGCCTCCCCGTTCCAGCGGCTCCAGCGGCCCCAGCCCGGGGCGAGCCGGACGCCGAGAGGGGAGGGGAGGGGGGAGGGCACATCCACAGTGCGTAGAACGTCTCTATGGCGTTCGGAGTTCCATAATTCACACTCGGTCCGGCCCCGCCCCACCCTTTCGACTAGAGCCTGCGAGAGCCCCGGAGTCTTGCGCGCCAACAATTACTACTCGGGTGACGTCATTTCCCGCCAAAACTCGCAGCGATTTCTGATTGGCCGGCGAGGCCGCGCGCCAATCCGCCTGGCCTCGCTGCAGCGAGCCAAATCCGCTTACCGGTGCCCGCCTAATTGGATAAAGGTTGGTGGATGACGACGACAATGACGTCATAACGCCCATGACGTCATCGCGTCATCTTGGGCCATCTTAGGCCTCCATCATTCGCCATACCCCCGTGATTTGCTCCTGTTTAAAAAGGCGCAACGAATGAACCGAGTTGGAGTTCGTGTTCTCATTTCTTTCTCTCTCTCTCTCTCTCTCTCTCTCTCTCTCTCTCTCTCTCTCTCTCTCTCTCCACGGGGTCCACGGCTGGCCCTCCGGTGAGGGACGGGGCCGAGGGGCTGTTTTATTCATGAGCTGGGGTGCCGGTCCCTCCTTGACACCCCACCCCCTCCCCTCCCCTCCCCTCCCCCACCCCCCGGCCCCGCTGCCTGTTGTGGTTTGAGACGGCTACGCTGCAGCGTGCAAACTCGCCGCCAAAATATAAATGTGCCGATTTTTTTCCCCTCTTCGTCTGTTTTTGGCCCTTGTGTTGACCGAGCAAATTCTGTGGTGCCGCAGGACTGTACCCGCCGATGCCCATGGCGTCGCCCTGCATCAAGGCCATCAGCCCCGCCGAGGGCTGGACCAGTGGCGGGGCCACCGTCATCATCATCGGCGAGAACTTCTTCGACGGCCTGCAGGTCGTGTTCGGGACCATGCTCGTCTGGAGCGAGGTGAGTGACAGGCGGTGTGGCGCCGAAATTGGAATTAAAATCTACCCGCCCCGGCTGGTACTTGAACCCGCACCTCTGCCTCCACAGCTCATCACGTCGCACGCCATCCGGGTGCAGACGCCGCCCCGGAACATCCCCGGCGTGGTGGAGGTCACGCTCTCCTACAAGTCCAAGCAGTTCTGCAAGGGGGCGCCCGGCCGATTCGTCTACGTTTGTAAGTCGCACAAGTTTCCCGGAGGGACTAGTTCTCGAGCCAACACGTAAAAAAAGAATTTGTTGTGACAACGAAAATGTTTGTTGATTTTGGGATAGCTAAAAAAAGTTGTTGGGCGTACTACCAATTTGTTGTCAGAACGAACATTTCGTTCTGACAACGAACTATATCGTCAGGAGTAATAAACACAATAAAAATGAATGTTTGTACTCCTAACGAATAATTTGTCGTGAGAGCAAAGTGTTCGTTCTCACAACAAATTTATAGTACGTCTTACAACTTTTTTTTTGCTATCCCAAAATCAACATACATTTTCGTTGTCACAACAAATTCTTTTTTTCCGTGAAAGTCAAAGACAAAGCAGGCCGAGTCTGACTGTTCGTTTGCTCGCAGCGCTCACCGAGCCCACCATCGACTACGGCTTCCAGAGGCTCCAGAAGCTGATTCCCCGACACCCGGGCGACCCCGAGAAGCTGCCCAAGGTAGGATCTAGTCAAAGACGCGCTCGATTTTGTCCAAGAAAGAGACCTAAAAGTGACTGACGATGTTGACTTCCTGCAGGAGATCATCCTGAAGCGGGCCGCCGACCTGGCCGAGGCGCTGTACAGCATGCCGCGCAACGCCACCGTCGCCCCGAGCAACGGCCTCACGCCGGGGGTGGGCTTCAACTCGTACTCCGGCCAGCTCGCCGTCAGCGTGCAGGACGCCGGCAGGACGCAGTACGAAGACGGTAAGCCTCGGTAGCGGAATCGGTTAGGACGTTCGCTTTGTGGAGTCGGTTGATCCGGGTTCGATCCCCGCTAGCGCTTCTCTTTTTTCGTTGGTCGATCGCCTCACCCCGAACTGGCCTGGCACTGGGTTGCAGACGATTACGGAGGCGGGCGGGCGCAGAGCAGCAGCGTCAGCCCCCGGGGGTACGCGTCCTCGGCCACCTCCACGCCGCAGTCCTCCGGGCCCAGCGGGGGCGGCGGGGGCGGCGGGGGCTCGTACCTGGCGGCGGAGGCGGCACCGGCCGTGCCCGCCCCGCAGCTTACCAACCTGTCCTCGGCCGGGGGGCTGTTCTCCTCGTCCTCCAGCGAAATCATGTCCAGTGAGTACGCGGCCCGCCCCGCCCCGCCCAGACCCGCTGCCCCGCACCGCCCCCTCTGCACTGTGACCTTTCAGCCAAGCCGCGCGCCGCGACCCTAAAACGCGGAGCCGCCGTGGGATTCGAACCCAGGGCGGCGCTGCTAGTGACGGCACGCGCCGCACGCGACATAACGTGAACCTGGGGTTCGAAACCCGGTCTGGGTCTTAGTTTTGTTTTTTTCGTTGACGGGCCTCTTCGATATCCCACTGGCCATGCCGCCTACGTCCCAGACTTGTCCCGGATTTAGTTTATAGTCGGTCGATGGTGCACTTCGCGCTTCGCACCCCCAAGTGCCTTGTGGTGTTGCCTGTCAAATGTCACCGCCCGTCGGAGGGGAGGGGGAGGGGGAGGGGAGCCTTAGCCTCGCTGCCATTCGTCGCCGTGCGGGCACGGCCAGAGGCACAGCCAGGCAGCGCTGCCGGTCGGACGGGTCGCACCTCACCTAAACCCTTTTTGCTTTTGGTTCCGCAGGAATGGGCAGCCTGGTGCCGTCGCCCTTCAGCAACATGAACCCCTTCGCGCTGCCCACGTGCGCGTCGCAGGGCTACGGCACGCCGCCCCTGCTCGGCTCCAAGTAGGCCGTCGGCCAGACCGAGCAGCCAGCCAGCCCCAGCGGCCAGACCGAGCAGCCAGCCAGCCTGAGCGGCCAGACCGAGCAGCCAGCCAGCCCGAGCAGCCAGCCAGACCGAGCAGCCAGCCAGCCTCGACGGCCAGACCGAGCAGCCAGCCAGACCGAGCAGCCAGCCAGCCCCAGCGGCCAGACCGAGCAGCCAGCAACCCGTCCGACACCCGTTCGGGACGGGGAACCCCGAGGGGAACCCCCAACCCCCAGGCACCCCGGGCCACCGTGACTGAGCGTCTGAAAACGAGCCTCCGTGCGGGGATTCGAACCCACCGCCGTCGAGAAGCTTACGCCGAGGGCGGGAACAGCTTTCCATCACACAACGCGCCATTTTTAATTTGTGTCCATAGTTGAATCCAGTCACCTGCAATCACCGCGTTTGCGTCACTGTCGGTCACTTTCGACGGAGGCAGCGAAAGTGAAGGCTGTTCCCCTTTTCGGCGCCAGAGACGGCCAACTAGACGTCACCTTTTGTTTTTGTTTTTTGTTTTCGTTTTTTGTTTTGTGGATAGTCTTGTCGCCAGGAGTTTCACCCTGTACAGTCGGAACAAATGTTTGTACATATCCTGTAAAAGAGTTTGTTGTGCTTTTCAGAGAGTACCCCTAGAGTTATACTTTTGTATGTGAAGATTTTGTGATTGATGATCTGACCCCCTTCTTCTTTTACAACAAAAGAGAGCGGAAGAATAAACAAGCGATCTTTTACGATCCGAAACGTTAAACTTTTCAATGACTTGCTGCCTCCTCTTCGTTTCACCTTTTTTTTAGAGCTTATGCCAGAGTGTGTCGTACCGTTTATGGCAAAAGCCGTTCTGTACCCCACGTATTCCCACTTTTCGATAACATTTTTCTGTTTTTGTTTCAATTTTCGTGATAATTAAAAAAAAAACTATTTGGAATAGCCTGCCAAGCCGCGAGCCGTAAGCCCCTGCGATGCGGCGGGTAGGCAGCGGACCGACGCCCGTGTGTTGCGGGACAGCCTGCCGCCCGGGCGGACAGCAGCCGCTAAATTCCCGATTCCGTATGTTTGTTTTCAATCTGTGTTCACGCGACTCACGCACACACACACACACACACACACACACACACACACACACACACACACACACACACACACGCACACACACACACGCACGCACACACACACACACACACGCACAATCATCGTTGACCCCTTCAGAGAAAGAGCGTTTCGGGTCATTGAGGGACAAGTCGAGAAATAAGAACCACCGCCTCCTTTTCTTCACCCTTCTGTCCCCCCCCCTCCCCCTCTTTTGCCCCTTCCCTCCCCTCCCCGCCCCTGCCTCTAAATTCAACCAATCCAATCTTCCGACGCGTGGCGGCGTCTGTGCGAGCTTTGGCAACAGCAAACAAATGAAATAAATGACTCACTGGGCGAGAGAGAGACGAGAGAGAGAGAGAGAGAGAGAGAGAGAGAGAGAGAGAGAGAGAGAGAGAGAGAAGAGAGAGAGAGAGAGAGAGAGAGAGAGAGAAGAGAGAGAGAGAGAGAAGAGAGAGAGAGGGAGAGAGACGCGGGTGACAGCCAGCCTGGGAGCGGCCGGCCCGCGCGCGGACCCGGCTTCGAGTACTGGTACTGGAGATTTTTTTTTGCCGCAAGTTTGCCTCGCCCACACCCTTTCCTTCTCTCCTGCGTGATTTCTCGGTTGACCTGACACCTCACCGGAGGGGCCCTCTCGGGGCAAGAGAGAGAAGGGAAATGGGGTGAGGGACGGAAAACAAGATGATCAGTATCAGAACAGAGTGCCGGGCAAACCGGGGCAGAGAGAGTAAGAAGACGAGAAAAAAAGAGACACTCAATTAGAGGGGCTCGAGTGGGCTCCTCCGGGCGGCTTACCGCGACAACTTGAGGAGACAACTCTCTTTGTTTCTTTTATTTTTTTACTTTCTCCTTCTTTTTCCTCGGCACCAAAGAGTCAGTCACCTTGGCGCGGTCGCCAATGATCCCGAATTAATGAGATGAGAGTCGAATCGCTGCGAGAGACAAATCGAATCACAAATTACTCGAGTGTTTTGTATCTCCTTTTTCTTGTCAAGCCTTGAGACAAAGGTCGCTCTTCTCTCGGGGTCAATCTATTCTTGTGTGGATCGCGACCGTCGTGACCCGCGCTGTTCAAGCACGAAACTACTATTCGCAGGCTCAACAACGAGCTGCCGATAACCACTCTGCACTCTGGCGTACACCGCGGCACTTTGGCGGGATTGAACCGACCACACTCAGTGAAATGATCGTCGCGCGGGGCGTGGCGGGGCGGGGTGGGGCGAGGCGAGGCGGGGCGGGGCGAGGCGGGGTGTGGCTGGGGCGTGGCGCGGCTCGGCGCGGCCCGGTCCAGCACAACAACACACAGGGTATTCAGTTACACGGATGATTGCGTCCATTGTCGCAGCACTTTGCACACGTACTGGCGGCTGCGGGGGCGGGGCCGACAGGGCCGACGGCGTAGGGGCGTGCGCGGGGGCGGGGCGGGGGCGGAGGCACTCCAAACGCGGATTGAAGCAAGGTGGCGGGCCGGCTGCAATGGGTACACTGCCAAAACAGAGGAAGCCATTGACGCGCATACGCACTGGCAGTCATGAAGATGGTCAAGTTGAACCGAGTTCTGCTGACTTAACCTCTACCCCTTTCCTTCTGCAAAAAACAAGTTTCGAGTCCAATGTTGGGATCTTGAACCCTGGCTCTGAGCTTTCGGGAAGCCTGAACTTCCCTGAGTAGTCTTAGGTTTCGAAAATGAAAAACCAGAACCATCAGGCAAAAAAATTGGCGAGTGGGAGATGGGCTAACTACAGAGAGACGAGGAGCTCTGGATGAAGTGCGCGCCATCTGCGCCGTTTGTCGGCGTGAGTGAGACAGAGTGAACACAGTGGGATGGAATGTTACAGCAGTATCGAGTGCGGCGAGGGGAAGCGTCGACACAGCCAGTCAGATAGCGATTAGGCTCTAGACCTACCCCACCTACTCCGACCCCACCCCCACCCCCAGCAACACAGACAGAGGGACGGCCGAACCGCGGAGGGCCGTGTTGGAACCGCGATCGTGTTCGAGTAACCCTTTCGACTCCACAGCCGGAGTGTTCGAGCACTGGCCGTGTCCAGTGCACCGCGGCGGCAGGGTTGCCTACCCGAACGGCGGCAGGGTTGCCTACCCGAACGGCGGCAGGGTCGAGGGGGGAACAGCTTTCCACATTCGTTGTACAAAATTTGACCACATTCCACATTCAGGAGGCAAAAAACGCCTGTAAGTAGGCAACATGTGTGGCAAAAAAGCAAGAAATCTTGCACATTCGTGCACATTCACACAATCATTGTACACAAAATTTTACAGTGGGTCACCCCTCGGGCAGGGTTGCCTACCCGAACGGCGGCAGGGTTGCCTACCCGAACGGCGGCAGGGTTGCCTACCCGAACGGCGGCAGGGTTGCCTCCTCCGGCGCCTTCCCACGGGGACTAAGACAAGCGGCGCGACTAAACCCGTAATCCGGTACAAGGGAGATTACCACGAGGACATTTCCTTATAGTGCTGCCGTCGACTGCCGTCGGCTGCCGTGCTGCCCGCCCCTTCACTCGGCGGGCACGGCGCGCGGATCGGCTGTCGAGTGGGGTTGGTGGCGCTGGTGCAGCCAGCAGCCAGCCAGCCAGCCGGGCGGCAGGCGGCTGCAGCAAACTCGGATTACAGGTTGATGGCTATGGAAAGCACCATCAAGATTGCAGGCACACGACTCGCCCCCGCCACCACCCGCCCACTTCGCCACAAGCGGCATAATCGCCAACCCCTTCCCCCACCCCTCCCCCTCCCCCAACGCAGTCAGAATGCCGTTCCCGGAGGTGTCGCAGCCTCGTCACTCCGTCGCTCTCCGTCCCACGCACGCCGACGGACTCGTATTGCAACACGCTTTGTTTGTTCGTCCACACGCGGCGCTGTCTCCGTCGTGGCTCTGTCTCTCTCGCTCTGCTCGCGGGGCGTTCCGCATGGGTGCGAGAGAGACAGAGCGACGGACTGTTTTCGGAGTCAGCCTGCAGCAGCCAGCAGCGGCAACTCTTATTGCAAACGGCGCGCGCGCGCGGCGCTTCGTTCCTTCCAGTTTCTCATACTCGTTTAACGCTTTGTAAATAGCGCCCCGTCCCCGCGGTCCCGTTCCCACTTCCGGTCGCACTGCAATCCCCCGCGGAGGGGAGGGGGAGGGGAGGGGGTGAAATTGATTGCTTTTCGAGCTCATTTGCCGCGGCGTCTAATTTCATGCGCTGCAATCCCCGCACTCGGCATTTCGTATTCCGGCCGAGTCTCGGTTCCTCGCGGCCTCTGCAACCCCTTCTCCCTCTCTCACTCTCCCTTCACTCTCTCACTCACTCTCACTCTCTCCCGCGACTCTCACTCTCCCACGAAAAAGAGAGGGAGGGGGTGGAAAGAGAGAGAGAAACGGCGATAGTAACAAAAGCAAGGACAAGTTTATCAGTGGCGATCGCAACAACAGATCAGCGGCGCGGTGCCGGTGCTACCAGTGGACTGCTCTTCTGGCGGCTCGGAAGCCTCGGCCGCCCCGAGCCGACCAGTCTGATTGTCAACTAATGCGATTTTATCACGGCACGCGCTGGCGACACGGCAGGGCACGGCAGGGCACGGCGCGGCAGGGCACGGCGCGGCACGGGCAGACACGCAGCGAGGGGAGGAAGGGGTGATGGCTTGCTGATCTGTCGGCAAGATTAGTGGCTGACGCGGGGAGGCGCGGAGCGGAGAGGTTTCGGAGGTGGAGGTGGAGGGGGGCGAGGACGACACCGGTCCAACCTGCAGCCCCACCCCAATCCCAGCCCCCCCCCCCCCCCAACGCCCCGCTCCACCCCACTGTGTTTTACAGCGGGGCCGACGTGCCGAGACACATTTGCACGCTTGAGTCCCGGCCCGACCGGGAGAAAATTGGTCTCAAGTCTGATTCAGCGAAAGCACCAAAGTTACGGGCGATGTTGCCCCCAGTGCATGCAAGTACATCTCAATTCCTACCACTTCCCATTCACGGCATACCTGAAAAATTTACTGGTCACATGAAAAGTCTGACAAACGAATGTATCAGGGGTTCTTTTGCAACCCCCGAAAATGGATTAATTGATGGAAAGCGGGTGACAGTGATCAAGACAAGGCATAGGACTCAAGGTATATTTCTCAGCTTAGTTGCAGGGCACGCACATAAAATCATACATGAATTCACAAGAAAAATAAGCATGTTATATTTTATTTTATGTGTGATTTCTACAAGATTATCACAGATTTTCATGATCTTTCCTATTTTTTTCAACATTAATTTCATGAGTAATGTTTTTTTTTTTTTTTTTTTTTTAATGAAGACTATCCTAGCTCTGCTTTTACTTTCCCAAGAATCTTGGGCATTTTCTTGTTGGTAGAATCTTCAAGTTCTCTTGCCTTGTAGTAATGAGGAGCCACCTCTAGAAGCCACTTGCTTTCGATTTCTATTACCTGTCACAGCAAATGCAGAACAAACATCAATAGATGCCAATAAGTTACAAAACCAGTTGCAAGAAAAGTGTGAGGGGAGAATCAACAAACCTGACGCATGAACTCCTTGGTAGTGAAGACAAGTTCATGATATAGGATCCAGCGGGGCAAGTCCTCAAACAACATACTGTTTGGATGAATCATAACAGTTTGATTGTGCTTAACTGTCTTGTATTGACCACCTTTAGAAAGCCGAGCAATATGGTAAAAATAACCTGCTGTGATGGCCTGAAAAATTCCATAAAACACAGGATTAGCTGAATATTAACGTTTTTACCACACGAATAAATAAGAAGATCATTCAATACCTTACGAATGTTGACTGTTTCTCCCTCAGCAGAGGCTATCTCAATTTCTACTCTTTCCATAAGCCCAACTAACTGTTCTCGAACATCCCTTGCACGTTTCATGGACCTGTACAAGACACAAGAATGCATGATGTAAAATTAAAAATGACAAACAGACCTTCATTCTCACTTTAGCAAAACCCGTTAAAGCATCACAAAATTTATGAAAAACATGAGAGAAAAAGTACCTGTACTGAATAAAATTTTCATAACACCATTGGGTGCTAAACTCTGTGTCTGCCCACTGCTTGTAAACATTGTGCAGGACCAAGTGATCTCCACCAGGACAATTGAAATTTTTTCTTGCAGTATCTGCATGGATAATTTTGTCCTTGGGGCGGTAAAAGATGGCCCCATTCACAGAGAGCATGGCACATATTGTTACAATCTCATCTGCACATTTGTACCTGGATTTGAAAACAAATTAGTGCCATTATGTATTTCTAGCAATATTTTATGATGGTAGAAAGGAAGGGAAAGTTCTAATAAATAATATTGAGATGAAACCATTGGGAAACAACTGCTTACTTTTCAGATGCCAAAATCATTTTTGCCATCATGGGGTCTACAGGGAACTCAGCCATACGCCGACCCAGTTTGGTGAGCTCTCCATGGTGATTCAATGCTCCAAGCGCATACAGCTGCTCCAAAGCCAACACCAACGTCTCATGAGGAGGAGGGTCCAGAAAATCAAAATGAACCAAGTCGTTTATGCCCAGTGCTTTGAGCATCAACACGGCATTGCCCAAGTTAATTCTCTGGATCTCTGGCACCGTGTTCTCTTCCAGCTCGTGTTTGTAAGCCCAGGCAGTGTAGAGGCGGAAGCACTTCCCAGCGGCGACACGGCCGGCCCGGCCTGCGCGCTGATTAGCTGAGGCCTGCAAAAGGCTTCTGTCAGACAACTGCTGCACGACAACAACAATAAAACAGCAACGCTGTAAAGCGAGGTCCATACCTTGGAGATGGGAACGACAATCAATGACTCCATGCCTGTCCTTGAATTAAAATTGTTTTGTTTGCAAAACCCGGGGTCTATCACATAAATAATATTATCAATTGTAAGGGAGGTTTCAGCAATATTTGTAGCAAGCACCACTTTGCGTGCGCCAGGAGGGGTGGGCTCAAAAATTTTGGCTTGCATTTCTGATGGCAGGTTTGAATAAACTGGAAGGATCTGTAGCTCCTTTAGTTTGGATCCCAGACGCTTTACTCTTTCTTGCAGGATTTCTTGACAAGTTTCAATTTCTTCTTGACCAGTAAGAAATACAAGAATATCACCCAGTGGCTGAGTTGCATGAATTTGAAGAATGGAAACTGTGGCAGCATCAATGTAATCAGCCTCAGGGGCTTTGGTGTAGTAAATATCCACAGGGAAACGACGACCTGTTCAGTATAAAAAAAATCAAGTTAGAATTTATCAATAAGAAAATCATCTATGGACTTCCCAAGAGTTTTATTCATACTTCATGGTACAACTACTTACCAGGAATTCTAAAGATTGGAGCATTGTCAAAAAATGTAGAAAACTTCTCTGCATCAAGAGTTGCACTAGATATTAAAAGTTTCAGCTCTGGACGAAACCGAGCTATATCTTTGACCAGACCAAATAAAATATCAGTGTGAAGTGTACGTTCATGAGCTTCATCAATAATCATGACACTGATGATAGAAAGTAGAAAAAACTTGAATATTAGAAAACATATTATTACAAAAGACACTATTCAGTAATTCACTTTTATGTAATGCAGGTCTACCTGTATGCCTGGAGATCAGGTTCAGAGAGAAATTCTCGGTGCAAGGTACCATCAGTCATGTATTTGATAATGGTTCGCTCCGAAGTGCAGTCTTCAAAGCGAATACTGTAACCAACCTTTCAGAAAACAAGGCACAAAATTAAAGTGCGCACAAGAGACATAAAAAGCAGAAATTTTTTCAAACTTTTCAAATACCTCATTGCCTAGTTTTACACTCATTTCCTGAGCAACTCGAGCTGCAACAGACATAGCAGCCACTCTTCTTGGTTGTGTACAGCCAATTTTTTTACCACCTTCAGTGAAGCCAGCTTCATGAAGGTACTGTGGAATTTGAGTAGTTTTTCCCGAGCCAGTCTCTCCCTCAATGATAAGAACCTGTACGTATTTGTTTCAATTAAAAACACTATAATTATTTTCATTATCCAATGTATATTTTAAACTAAAAGAATTGTACAAAAATGTACCTGATGATCGCGAACAGCGTCTATTAATGCCTCTTTGAAGGCATAGATTGGGAGGCTACGTTTGGTTTCTTCAAGGTCCATCTTTTTCTTTTGGGCTTCAGAAACAGTTTTCTCCTTTTCCTGAAAATTTAACCAAATTATCAGAGTGTAACATTAAAATGTAAAGGAAGCAAAATATTTTTCTAAAGAGTATGGACACATTAAAGGAATGCTCACCTTCATTGTCATTTCCTCAGTTCCAGCCAGCTGAAGTGCTTGAACAAAAGCAATTTGTTCATCAAAAACAAAATCATAATCTTCCTGTTCCTTTTTAACTCCTTTCTTGGCTCCAAACCGAAAAGTTGCAGACGCCATTTGTTCTTCTTCCCATTTCTTTTGCTCAGAGTGAGGCTGTTTTTCTTTTTCATCAACCTCCTCATATTTGTCATCTCCTTTCTGATAAAAGGATTACATATCAATGAAAAATATGAATGAAACATTGAAAAATTGATGACAATATGGAAACCATACCAACCTTCTTGTCATGGGGCATGTGATACCTCTGAATATTTTCAAGTTCTCTCGCCCGATCATGTTCTTTTGCTAAATGAAGAACTGTCTTTTTGTATTCTCGGTCTTTCTTTTCCTTTTTTGTCAACCTGTAATAATTTAATAATGTCTTAGAATGCTAAACCAAATTTTTTTAAAACCAATAACAATAAAATATATGGCATAATTGATTATGTACATACACAGTTTCTTCGAAAAGAAATTCATCATCTTGGATATCGGCTTCCAGCTCTGCTATTTTGTCATCTTTACGTTTCTCTAAATATTTTCGTCTTGATTCAATCCTAAGGTGGGGGACGAGCTTTTCAAGGTTCCCTTGCTCAAGTTTGATACGTTTTGCGGCTTCCTCAAACTTTTTTCCTAAGGAACAAAAGAGTCAATTGAACTGTACAGCCAGAGAATGCATGAAAATTGATTCTACTAAACAATCTGATTTTAAATACCTTGAGCTTCTGCGACATTCCTAGTCTTATCCTGATCCTTTTTCTTGAGACGTGCTGCGAATGCATCCCTTTCCTGCAAATCTTGCTTCCTGGTTTTCTCTGTCTCCGACTCACTTGAATCGGACTCTTCATACCTGTAGAATAACAAACAGAATTTACAAAGGTTTCATGGAGGCAACAGACATACTGGAAGCCCACAGCACAAATAAAACCACAATTTTCAAACATTGAAAATACTACAGGAAGAATCAAGTGAAATTAACAGTGTCAAGAAGAATGCCCATACCTTTTAGATGTTCCAGGCCTTTTGGCGCCTCGGTCCCGGTCTTTGTCTTTCCCCATGTTTGCTGAAATACTTCTCTTGTTACATAAAAATATTTGAAAACCTCCTTTCTAACCTATAGATTTGTTGAGCGTTCACAGGACGTAAACAAAGTAGCTCATCTTGTGGAGATGATCGCGCTACGCGCTCACAGCGGCCTCATCTCATTGGCTGAGGCCACGTTGAACAGCCAATGGGAGTGCGTCCTTGCTCATGGCACTTTGTAGCCTCCTTTCTCCAGTGTATCGAGAAGGCCGTGGGCGAGTCGCCTCTCTTAACTTTGGTACCCCTTGCTTGTCACTGTTTGCAGTATCATTGCGTTAGACTGCAAGACTCGTCACCGAATTTTCATTCAACTTTAAGTCAAAATGGGTGCCCGTTACGATAGAGCTATCACCGTATTTTCTCCCGATGGTCATCTTCTTCAGGTTGAATATGCCCAAGAAGCTGTCAGCAAAGGTTCGACTGCGGTAAGTGCACTTCATACTTTGGGAGGTTAAGCCGGTTTGTTTCGATTTTAGTTCATGGACGCCTCTGCCTCATCTTTGGAAAATGGGATAATTTGATAGCATTTTGAGTTTATTTCTCTCTTACGTCCAGATCTGTTCCTCCCACCTGTGTCTAGTGTTGTACTTCGCTTTCTTTGTCTAACGAATGTTTGGACGTTGTTGGGTTATGTCGCCGCCTATCCATTTCTGTCACTCGTTTATATGCCTCAATTCATTCCAAGAATGATCTTTCCTCCCTCTCTTCCCCTTCAAGAGTCAACCCCCCCAATGAGGCTTCGCTTGTCTCCAGTTAGTTAATAGTATTTGTCATTTTTAGAGGGTGGTAAACTAACACAAATTATGTTGTTTCATCTTACCATTGTTGTACTCTTATTGTTAATTTGATGTGAACATTCCTTATTTTATGTGCTACCTCAGATTGGAATCCGAGGCCAGGATGTCGTCGTCCTTGGAGTGGAGAAGAAGTCCGTAGCAAAGCTGCAGGAGGAGAGGACCGTCCGCAAAATCTGCCTTCTGGATGACCACGTTGTCATGGCCTTCGCTGGTAACTAAAAAAACGAATATGACTCTCATAGTTTTCTGTACTTGAATTTGACTTGGACGATGTTAACTTTTTGTCCTTTTATTTTTGTTCCAGGTTTGACAGCTGATGCCAGAATTCTAATTAATCGGGCACAAATAGAATGCCAGTCCCACAAGCTAACAGTAGAAGATCCGGTTACATTGGAATACATTACACGTTACATTGCAAGTAAGGGTTATTTTTCTTATTTTTTTCTGTTTGTAAATATATTTTAGTCTGTTTGTAAATATATTTTAGTTCTCTCTCGATAAGATTTTTTGATTTCATATTCACTGTTTTGTTGTTGTTTTTCTCAGCCATGAAACAGAAGTACACACAAAGCAATGGCCGAAGACCCTTTGGTATTTCATGCCTGATAGCTGGCTTTGACTTTGATGGCAAGCCCCATTTATTCCAGACAGAACCCTCTGGTATTTATTATGAGTGGCTGGTAAGTTGAATGAACTTGTAACCATGCTATGATACAAGGGCAATTTATGGTTGAAGTTAGATATTGATTTGTGTTGCATTTGTTCAAGGCCAACTCCACTGGAAGACAGGCAGCCACAGTACGTAGTTACCTTGAAAAGAATTACAAGCTGGAGGACATGAAGACTGAATCGGATTGTGTCAAGTTGGCCATCAAGGCTCTGCTTGAGGTTGTTCAGTCTGGCCGCAAGAATTTGGAAATTGCTGTCATGAAGCGTGGTGAACCTATGAGAGTAAGTGTCCTAACTTCATTTTCATTATTTTCTATCTGTGTTCTACTTTCTAAGAAACTTAATGGACTGTTTCTATTTTTGTGTGTTTAGATGCTTGATGGTGAGAAGATTGATGAGTACATCAAGCAAATTGATGCTGAAAAGGACGAAGAGGCGGACAAGAAGAAGGCAAAGAAGTGAGGCTGGACCCAGACCTGTAATTTTATTTTGTTTGTCAACATATTTTGTCTCAATACCAATACAACCCTTTTTTTCTGTAAGCGATGGCGCTCAATTTATTTACAAACACAGTCCCTCATACAATGGCCTACAAGTGATGCTGAGCAAAGCAAATTCTTTCAAAAACTGATGTTTTACATAAGAAAAGTATTTTGATAAGTCAAATTCATTTGGAAATGTGAACCAATATTGTTAGGTTGAATATTTGTAGTTTGGCTGAGACAATTATTCACTGGTGGTGCGAAAAATAGGCAGGCCTCCTCTTCCTGCCGCATGGTCAGGGACAGGGAATCACAGGGAATATCTAGGAGGGTCGCTAGGAGCTGGGAATACCCCGTGGCCGCGTTTCTCCGCCTGCTCGAGAGGTGGCGCCACTGTCACGAAAGCGGGCGCTGCAGTCACGGAGTATTTCCCACCAACCCCACAGACGGGGACGTTTTTAGACTTCACAAATAAATAAACAAATATAATAAGTTACTTAAACTAAACAACGAGACAAGATGATCATGAAACAGAGGGTGACGATGTTGGGAAATGAGATGGGTGATGATGATGGCACTTCGTATTTGGTGACTCTTCGGGAGGCGATGATGTCCTTCATGAAGTACAAAGATTCCTTGGGTGTGCGCGTCCGGTTGGGCGAGTTGAAGTCCACGTGCACGAGGCCGATCTTAACTCTACAAGACACCAAAATGACAAACGAAATTTAAGAACACAATCTGTCAGATTATTCACCACAACTTGCACCGTAGCGTTCCACACTCACGTGTATCCAGCTGCCCATTCGAAGTCGTCCAGCAGCGACCACACGAAGTAGCCGATGACGTTCACCTGGTCGTGGTACCGGGCATGCATCAGCTGTTGCAACCAGGCCTGCCGGACAAGAAGGCGAAGTACAATAAGTAGAGTAGAGTCACCAACAGACAGTCAAAACGCCTGCCGAGCTGCCGCTGCCACCCGCCGGCGCGCGCGTAGGATGTGTTGCCTACGCGCACGGCGTTCAGGCGGCCGGCACACAGTGGGCCAGAAGACCGGTGGAGGTGGCCAAAACTCTAGACGCGTTTTTAGCTCCAGAGTCGCTAAACAGGGCTCGGACCGAATGTGTGACCCCACCAATGGATTGCTCTTCGAACGAGGAATCCATTGGTGGGGTCACACGTTCGGTTCGAGTCCCATTTAGCGACTTTAGAGCTCAAAACGCGTCGAGAGTTTTGGCCGCCTCCACCCGTCTACTGGCCCACTGTGCGGCAACTTGGCGGCATCGCGTCGCACTCACGCTGAAGTAGGCCTTGCGCTTGTTGTCGTCCTCCGCGCCCTCCGCCATGCCGAGACCGTTCTCGGTGATGACGAACGGGATGGTGTTGTCCGGGTCGTAGCGGTCCCGGACCCACATCAGCGTGGAGCGGATGCTCCAGGGCGTCCACTGGAAGTCCCCCGGCGGGTTGTTGATGTCCGAGGCCTCGGGGATGTCGAGGTCCTGGTCCATCTCGAAGGAGGGGTTCCTGGCGTTGCTGGGCGCGCCGTTGCACGCGGTCCAGCCGTAGTACGAGTTGAGGCCGATGAAGTCCAAGGAGCCTGAAGCAGAGCAGCCGTCAATAAAAGGACTCAAACTTTCAAAACAAACAACAACAAAAATCGGCGTGGCTGCTCACCCTGCAGCTCGGCCTTCTGCGCGGCAGTGAAGGTGGGCAGCCTGGAGCCCACCCTCCTCCTCATGACGGGCGGGTAGTCGCCGCTGCCCAGGATGGGCTCCAGGAACCAGCCCACCTCGAACTCCTGGTGGCGCTCGGCGGCCTCCACGTCCTCGTAGGCGTTGGTGCAGGGCCGCGTGAAGTAGTTGTCCAAGGACATGCCGATCCTGCCTGCAACCGGAGACGCCGCCGTCAACGCCGTCAACGCCGTCCTCGTCAGAGCGCCGGGGCCGTCACCGTCACCATCACCGACGCGCGCAAGCGGCGCAGGATTTGGCAAATCCGCGACCGCTGCGCCATGGCCGTGCCAAGACAAGGGCCGCATGTGCTCCCAGGGGATTACGCGTCGCGACTTCAGGACGGCCCTGGCTCTTATCTCCACGTGGTGGTTGTAAAACGCTCAACACTTAAGCGAGAGACGCGACGCGATGGAGTCATTATTGCCTGCCTTGATCTTGGAAGCAGCCTGTCCGTCCGTCGGTCCGTCTGTCTGTCTGTTCTGATTGTGAACCCGTCCTTTGTCAATCGCGGATCCATGAGGTGGAGGGGCTGGGCTATCCCCCGATCCTTAGATAATCAACTGTCAAATAGTCAATAACAGGAAAAGTAGCGATATACATCGGCAACTTTGGCTCGTCCCGCACATTAAGAAACGTACGAATTTCGCCTATGTTTGACCCTGACGGGAATTAAACCTGAGTCTGGGGTTAAAATAAATGTCGTTTTCGTCATCAGCACCCTCAAAAACATCAGAAACAATGCAAAACCTCGAATAAAAAGAATGTTCAAAAAATACCCCGCTGGGATTTGAACCCGGGTCCGAACTTCTCCGATTCGCTCGAAACTGGCACCATTGGTTTTTTCTCGTCGCCCCGATTCCAAAAGTACCCCTACATGCCCTCCTAGCTGCACCCGTTGCCGAGATCCCCCTCGACCCAATGTAGACCATGATGCACCTGCAGCAGCGCCCCCGGGGCTCGGATCGGATTTGCTGCCACCGGGCGGTTCTTAGGGTCACCCAAGGAGGCTGCATACCAAATTTGGTCAAGATCGGACCTCGGGAAGTCCTCGGACGGACGGACGGACGGACGGACGAACGAACGGACGGACGGACGGACGGACGGACGGACGGACGGACGGACGGACGGACGGACGCACAGCAGAGATCATACTATATGCCCGTCCCTCCGTCATTTTTTTACAAAAAATAAACGGGACGGGCCAAAAAGCCAGATTTTTCGAAAAGGACTTTCTTTCTCTCCCCCCCCCCTCTTCCCCTCGAGGCCGGCTCCGGATCCGCCACTGCCTTGACTCACCTCCCTGGCTGGCGAAGTCCCTCTTGTAGGCGCGGTAGGCCTTGGCGTGGGCCAGCAGCACGTGGTGGCCGCAGAGGTACTCGCTGTGGCCGGGCACCGCCGGCGGCGACCCCATGCGGGAGTGGCCCGCCCCGTACCGGCAGAACATGTGGGGCTCGTTCACCGTGGTCCAGGTCCGAACCTGGGTTCAAATACCAACATCAATCTTTTGGAGAACAGATTTTATGGTGGCGCAATGACGGTGGGCGGGCGGGGCCACGCGCGGAGCCAGGGGGAGGACTGGGCTGAGCTGGAGCGCTCCCCTGAGGAAAGGTAGGCTGAATCGCACTTTAGCTACATCCCCCCCCCCCCGTGGGGCTTCCCTCCCCGCCTCCGCGCCAACTCACCCGGTCGCCGAAGAGTCGGAAGGCGGTGACGGCGAACGAGAGGAAGTAGCCGACGATCCGCTCGTCGTTCCAGCCGCCGAAGGCCTCGTAGAGCGAGAAGGGCAGATCCACGTGCCACAGCGTCACCTGCAGCAGAACGTGTCTCTGTCACTCTGTCTCTCTCGCACTCATTGGCAGTCCGCGGGGGGCGGCCGGAACAGAGACACGAAATGGCGCAACGGAATTAATGTGCGGGCGACCACCACTACACTCTAAATATGGGGTGCCCAGTCTCGGGGTGGACAAACCATTAAGAAACCTGCCTTCACCCATGGCTCAGCAGCGACTGAGATGCCGAAGGTGCCCAGAATCTGGGCACCTTAGTCGCCTAGGAACTAGACACCCGAGCATGCTCTACCACGGGAGAGGGCTGGTTACTGCATGATTTGTCCACCCCGAGACTGGGCGACAAAGGTGCCCAGAAACTGGGCGACATTGGGCACCCTAAAAAGTGGGGTGGGCGACAAAGGCACCCAGTTTCTGGACACCCTACATTTAGAGTGTAGCCGCTAATTGGCCGAGGAAACGGGACGCCTTGCGAGGGGCGCCCGCTTTTAATGAGCAATGAGCAGCAATGACCGTCCACGCCGGGGATCGGATCATATCGCTAAGCCAAGCTAATCGGATCGGCGCGCTTGGCGGGCCCGGGCCGTAAAGAGTCCGTCACCGACCCAAGTGGCTCTCGAAAGGGCCAACGAACGCGCCAAACGCGCTGCCCAGCTGGAACCAGGATTGCCCAATGTTGCCCCCGGAAGTGGGCAAAGATTTTGCCGCCCTGGAAAGGTCTGCAGAGGCCTATCAGCGTTGATGATGATGATGATGATGATGATGATGATGGTGTGTCAACAGACCTTTCCGGGCTAAGCAACATGTTCAGTATACTCGGATCTTTGCGCCGCCACACTTTAAGATTCAGCTCATTTGTGGCGAAACGGAATTGAACTCGGTGTCAAAACTGGAGTATCAACAACAACGAGTTTAATTCCATTTCGCTGCAAATAGGTTGAGTCTTACAGTGTGGAGGCGCCAAGATTCGGTTATTGCACAAAAAGATTAGCCCGGAATGGTCTACTACGGAAAGGGTTGCCACCCTCAGCCTGCCCACTGTTCAATTTAGAGGAGTGAATTGGAAGGTTTACTCTGGTTTGCACGCTGCGACCGGCGAGGTCGGATTCTTTCGCGACTGTACACACTGTACGCACTCACCACAGGCTGGATGCCGTTGTCGAGTAGCTCGTTGATGAGGTTGTTGTAGTATCGAACGCCCAGCGGGTTCACGTTGTCGGGCTCCCCCGTCGGCAGCAGGCGGGCCCATGCGATGGAGAAGCGGTAGTGGGTGGCCTGTCGTCAGACGATGTCAATCAGTGTCAGTGTCGCCAGACGACGTCGTCAACAGCGAGTCGGAAGCCGCCACCGCAGACACGCCAATGGGCCAGTGTACCGCAGTGTAGTACCGCCATGGCGGCGTACCGTGCCGCAACTCACCCCCATGAGCTTGAGCAGGGCCACGTCCTCCTTGTAGTGGTGGTACGAGTCGCAGGCCTCGTTCCCGCCGCCGTCCGATCTGTTGCCGTACGCGTGGTCCGTCGTGCTCATCCCCTTTCCTGAAGACCCGAGGTCAGAGGTTCGAATACCGCATCGGAATACGCTTTTTTCGTGGTTTCAACCGCCACTCACCGTCGACGTTCCACGCGCCCTCGATCTGGTACGACGCGGACCCGGCGCCCATCCAGAAGTCGGTGGGGATGCTGAGCTCGGCGTCGACGACGGCGTCCTCGGCGGCCTTGGCGGCGTGCTGGACGCTCCCCGCGGTCCCGGAGGCGAGGCCGCGGGGCCCGGCGATGTGCGCCGACAGCGGCCCGGAGGGCAGGGCGGTCGCCGAGGCGGACAGCATGGCGGCGAGGACCGCCACGGCGCGAAGGGCCGTCGGCATGGCCGTCGGCACGGCCCGCCCCGCGGAACCGGGGCAGGACCAGCGAACCCGTTCGTCTTGAAACATGTCCTCGCAAGCTCTGGGGTCTGCTAGTGTGGTGGCGCTCGTACTACTTCCACTCCACTGTCGCGGCAGTAAAGCGTTAGGGACTAAATACCACCTTTTATCAGTGTCGTCACCCTACGTGCGCGCTGCGCGCTCCGTGTGAGGCCGTGGGCCGTATGGGGCCCCCTTGGCGTGCTGAGTGTACGACAGCTTCCTGGGCCCGGGGTGAGACCAGCCACTGCCAGCCTCCCTCTCGGCGAAACCCAAACAGTGGCAGGCTGTGGAAAGGGGTGCCAAAAGTCGTTCTTTTTGTCAAAAAGGGTACGCAGTTCGGAGTGTTCCACCTGGAAGAGAGACGGGAGCCACACGGCCATCCAGCATGATCGAATGCCGGACAGCCGAAGACCCTCACGGAGCGATTTCTCGACTTTCCAGCACACATTAGCGTGTAAATTTACGTTAGTCACATACGTGCATTTTGCAAGGGCAAGGGTCAGACTTGGACTTCGATGACGGTCCCATGAACCACCGCGTCGATGATGAGGGCCGATCATAGCGATCATAGGGAAATGAAGAGGGGGTACACGGTGAAAACGGTTCCTGGTTTTCCCAGGAACCTCCTGGAAATCGCCTATGTCTTCGCCATAGGGCTCTTGCGAAAACCAGGTATCGTTTTCACCGTGTACATAAGGGGAAAGAGCTTGGCGCGATGAGATGGCGGGGTACTAATCCAGGTGACGTCCGCGGGGCCGAACCATTCAAGCGTGGTTGCGGTTCCTGGTATGCACTTAGCTCATGATCTGACGCAGGTGTATTATTGTTCTTTTTTATGGCATAATGATGGCAATCCCGATCACGTATGCGCGGCGTGTACTACAGCGTGTGTCGCATGGCCCGCACGATGACTCAGGGAGTGTGTGTGTGTGTGTGTGTGTGTGTGTGTGTGTGTGTGTGTGTGTGTGTGTGTGTGTGTGTGTGTGAGTGTGTGGCGGGGGTTGATTGCAGGCAATTGCAGGGCTAGGGAAAGATTTATGGCCTCCTCGAGATATCTGCACCTGCACCGTTCGAGGTTCGACACATTTAGTATGTGCACAGAAGCTTCTAGTCGTCTATCAGTGAACATGTGCAATAGTGTGAATGCAGTTCCACCGGAGAGGCGGGATATTTGTAGACGGAGCGGTACGCGTGTGCTCGTTGGGGTTCCTCCCTTCCCCTCTCCGTCAGTGCCTTCGGCCCACGGTGTGCTGTCTGCTCGCCGGATCCGGAAACAGATTGGGAAGCCGCCTCAAACTTTGCACCGCGCAGCCCGGAGTCCGTCCCGGAGAGCCCCTGGAACTAGGCAGCCCATCGGGCACGGCGGGGCGCGGCGCGCTGCGGTGCCGGAAGGGATGCCTATCTCGCGCGCCGCCTCTACGCGATTCGCGTCCCTCATCCTCATCGCGGCTCGTCGCTCTGTCTCTCTCGCGCCTTGGCGGTTCGCCCCACGAGTGCGAGAGAGACAGAGCGGTGACAGCGATGTGCGGAATCAGTCTGCAGCAGACCGATTCCGAGAGTCGTTTTCGTCGCTCTGTCTCTCTCGCACTCGTGGGGCGTCCCGTATAGGTGCGAGAGAGACAGAGCGACGTCGGAATCAGTCTGCAGAGTGGTGCCCGTCGGTCTACCCTCTCTCACACCCACCATCCACCTACGGGTGCGAGAGAGACGGCCACCCTCTGTGCCTTGGCTGTGCGACGAAGCGCGGCTTCACCTGGACTCCACTCGAAGTGGGTCCCCGAGCCCCTGCCGTCTGATTCCGAGCACTGCTTTCGTCGCTCTGTCTCTCTCGCACTCATGGGGCGTTCCGTAGGGGTGCGAGAGAGACAGAGCGACGAAGCAGTGTTCGGAATCAGACGGCTGACCTGACCAGGGCAGGCCGGCAGGCGAACCCACCTTGTTCCCCGTCACACACCACCCCTGCTCGCCCTGCTCCTGGGGCTCGGTGTTCCGAACGAACGGCTGCGCCTGCCCCACACGCACACACACACGCACGCCGCCCTGGAGGGGCAGCTGCGCGGGGCTGGTTCGGGGGGCCGGGGGCTGGAGGTGGGGGGGGAGGGGTCCGGGCGCATGCTGTGCCGTGCAGCAGGCCGCCGGCCCGTCGGTTCGGTCCCCCAGACACAAACACACTGCTACTGCCTCCGCCGCCTCCGCCGCCGCGCCTCGGCATCCTGGCTCCATCCGCCATCCTGCGCCCGTGCCGCGTAGCCGCGCCGTGCCGTGCCGCGCAGTCCTGGCGCTGGGGCCTGCAGCAGCAGAAGCAAAAGTTGGAGTGTAGTTGTGGCGCGATCGACACGTTCTCTCGGCCCGCCGTGCGTTGCCGCGTATTTCGCGAACCCCGTCCGTGTCCAGTGTCCGCAGAGCTGGAGAGTAGGCGGTGCCGTGTTCCAGTGGTTCCAGTTGGAATTGTGAGGGTCTGCCCGTGAGGCTGGAGTGAAGTGGCCGTTGCCGCCGCCACCGCCGCCACCGCAGGGCAATGACTGGGCCGCCCGGCCGCCGCTGCCGCCGCCGCCGCAGCAGCAACAGCAGCGACAGCAGGTAAGCGGGAAACATAACCTCAACACCTACGTGTTGCGCACAGCGCGCTCCCGCCGCTCCAGCGCTCTGGAGCCTCCAGGCGCTCCAGCTGCGCGCCCAACCTAACCTCCTGCGAAGTCGCTCGCATTCGCCCGTTTTGCAGTTTCCTTCGACCCGCCGCGGCCAGCGTTTCGCACTCCGGCCGGACCAATTTTTGTAAGGTCCCGCCAAAGTGTCGACCTTGTCATTCTGACGTCTGGAACGCCTCCGTAATTGTCCTGTTCTGACGTTGACAACAGATTTTATCTACTTTCCATTCGTTTGAATGACTGTTTTTCCCGGGGAAAGAGTCTTGTTCTCTTGTCATTGTCACTCCGTGTGTGAAATAGTGTCACTCCCATTCATTCCACTCGCTTCGTGTGGCGGGGTTTCATTTCGTATTTAGTAGTCCATTTGCTCGACCCCCCCTCCTCCCCTTTCCCCTGCATAGTTTTACGTTCCCGCGGTGTGGCGAATGGCGCAGCGTCCGAAGACCTGCACCTCGCCGATTTTGATTTTCCACGCCCACGCCGAGGACGCACAGTGGGCCAGAAGACCGGTGGAGGCGGACAAAACTCTAGACGCATTTTGAGCTCCAGAGTCGCTAAATGGGACTCGAACCGAGCGTGTGACCCCACCAATGGATTGCTCTCCGAACGAGGAATCCATTGGTGGGGTCACACGCTCGCTTCGAGTCCTGTTTAGCGACTCTGGAGCTCAAAACGCGTCTCGAGTTTTGGCCGCCTCCACAGGTCTTCTGGCCCACTGTGGGGCGGGCGGCGGCAGCAGACTGATTCCGTCGCTCTGTCTCTCTCGCACTCATAGGGCGTCCCCTGTAGATGCGAGAGAGACAGAGCGACGAAAACGACTCTCGGAATCAGTGTGCAGCGGGACGGGGATTGCGGATGCATTTTTCATAGACGGGCGGTGCTTGGTGCCGGACCTGCCGGACTTGAGGGGGATGAAGGCGCCGAGGGTGGCGCCCCGACTCCGCGGCGACCTGGCCGCTGTAAAACGGGTCAAAGGGCGAAAGAAAGAAAGAAGCAGAAACAAAAAGAAGCAGCGCCCACCGCATTACACGGTCGCGCCACCGGTGGTCTCAAAAAGAATGTGGGATTTTAATTTTTGACGCCCTTGCCACTGGAAAAACGCCCGCCCGTTGAAACGGCGGCGCTTCCCCTCTGCGCTTCCCCGCGCGCTGTGCGTACTCACTCACTCACCGCGAGGCAGCCGCGCTCTGCACTGCTAAAGCTTTTGCTCCGTTTTGCCCAACGTTGCCAGCGACCCGGTCATCTGTCAAATGCCATCCCACTCCGCCCTGGGCTCGCTGCCGCGGTAGTAATGCTGCTGCAGTCGTCTGCGTCGCTCTGTCTCTCTCGCACGCACAGGCCGTTGCACAGTGGGCCAGAAGACCAGTTTTAAGGTTTAAGGATGGACGTTCAACAAACGGCTCTGTCAAGCATGAGCCTCTGACCAGTGGAGGCGGCCAAAACTCGAGACGCGTTTTGAGCTCCAGAGTCGCTAAACAGGACTCGAAGCGAGCGTGTGACACCACCAGTGGATTCCTCGTTCGGAGAGCTATTCATTGGTGGGGTCACACGTTCGGTTCGAGGCCTATTTAGCGACTCTGGAGCTCAAAACGCGTTTAGAGTTTTGGCCGCCTCCACTGGTCTTCTCGCCCACTGTGCGTTGCCGGCGTTGCGTGCGGGTGCGAGAGAGACAGAGCGACTGCCGCTGCACCCCGCCGTGCCAATTAGGGCGCACGCCGTGGCGGAAGTAACGACGTCGACGTCGCGAAATGCGGATGGCAAATGCGAAATGCGAAATGTGGAATACGAAGTGAAGTACGAGGGCTGCGAGTTCCGAGCAGAGCGAGTTGGCGCGGTGCTGGATGGGCTGCCTACCTCGCGGGCGCTCCCGCCGCTGCGCGTCGAGTTGTCGAGCGTCGCAGTCAACGGCACGGCCTTGTTGTTGCAGGCGGTGAACACCGAACGCGGCACGCGGCGTCGCGGAGACATGGAGTGGTTCTGCAGGTGACGCGACGTGGGTGACTTCGGCTGACAGGTTCGTACCAGTGGCGTTTGTTTGCACGTTGCAAATCGAATCCGGTGTGATCCGGCTGCGGCCGATTCCCGTGACGCTTGCCCGCGACGGCTGCAGCCGGGCGTGGCACAGTGGGCCAGAAGACCGGAGGAGACGGTCAAAATACCGGACGCGTTTTGACCTCCAGAGACGCTAATTGGGACTTGAACCAAACGTGTGACCCCACCAATGGATTGCTCTCCGAAAGAGGAATTCATTAGTGGGGTCACACGGTCATTTCGAGTCCCATTTAGCGACTCTGGAGCTCAAAACGCGTCTAGAGTTTTCCAGCGCCGGTCTTCTGGCCCACTGTGGGTGGCTGATGATGACTGTATCATCGCGTCGTTTTATTACCCATTTGCGAGGATCCAAGTGTGACACGCCCAGCGGCGTTGTGCTCCATGGAGCCTGTCTAAAGATCAGGAGCTAATTTGATTTCGTCTTTTGGTTCCGCCAGGTGATGCTGTGGCGCTGGGCGAGCTGCTGCGTCCGCGATGGCGGCGGCGGCGCGGTGCGCTCGCTGGACTACGCGCACTGCTCGCTGCACGACGTGCCCGCCGAGGTGTTCGAGCACGAGCGCACGCTGGAGGAGCTGCGGCTGGACAGCAACCGGATGCGCGACCTGCCGCGCCCGCTGTTCCTGTGCCAGGAGCTGCGGCTGCTCAGCGTGGCCGACAACGACGTGGCGCAGCTGCCGCCCGCCGTCGGCCAGCTGCCGCACCTGCAGGTGCTGGACGCGCGCCGCAACGCGCTGCACGACGTGCCCGCCGACCTCAAGGCCTGCAAGAAGCTGCGCAGCGTCAACCTCCAGGGCAACCCGCTGGTGCGCCTGCCGGAGGCCCTCACGCAGCTCGTCGCGCTACAGGTGGGCGCCGCTCAGTGGGCCAGAAGACCGGTGGAGGCGGCCAAAACTCAAGACGCGTTTTGAGCTCCAGAGTCACTGAACAGGACTTGAACCCAACGTGTGACCCCACCAATGGATTGCTCTCCGAACGAGGAATCCATTGGTGTGGGGTCACACGTTCGGTTCGAGTCCTGTTTAGCGACTCTGGAGCTCAAAACGCGTCTAGAGTTTTGGCCGCCCCCATCGGTCTTCTGGCCCACTGTGGCGCGGCGGAAACGACTCAGCCTGCAGATGGCTGCATCGCACTCCAAAGTGACGATCCAGGACCAGGACAGTGTAGATCCAGGGGGAAGGGGGCCACACTGCATGGGCCCGAAGGAGTTGGCGGCATGGCCGGGCATAGCGCGCGGGCTGCGGGAATCTCATATCAACTTTGTCCCTTGTGGCCCTCTGCCTCCGCATTGGCCGCGCCCCGTCCCTCCCTCTCCACGCGGCCAAGTTCCGGGCACCGCCAGGGCACCGCCGCCCCCTTTTCGGGAGCAAAAGGCCAGAAATGGCCCGGTAGGCAGGCTGAGGTTGGCAACTCTTTCCACACCAGTGTATCCTGAGCCTACTCACGTGGCAGTTTTGCCTACTTTCGAGGCAAGTTTTGCCCAGCTTGCCTCCGCTGTCCCGCTTGCTAAGGGCTGCACGTCGATACCCGTCGTGATGCTCGATCGCTCGTGTGCGGGCCGCGCGCTGGGCAGCCGGTTCTTCAAAGGGGGGCCACCGACTCAAGCGTGAAATGGCGCACTGTTTCTCTTGACGTCATAGAGCGACAGGACAGGCCCCGCACAGTGGGCCAGAAGACCGGTGGAGGCGGCCAAAACTCCAGACGCGTTTTGAGCTGCAGAGTCGCTAAATGGGACTCGAACCGAACGTGTGACCCCACCAATGGATTGCTCTCCGAAAGGGGAATCTATTGGTGGGGGTCACACGATCGGTTCGAGTCCTGTTTAGCGACTCTGGAGCTCAAAACGCGTCTAGAGTTTTGGCCGCCTCTACCGGTCTTCTGGCCCACTGTGCCCCGGTGGGAAACTGACACAGTAGTGAATTTTGCGAGGAGTGTTTCTTGCCGGTGACTGACGAATGGCATCCCTTCCAGGAGCTGTACCTGAGCGATGTGGAGCTGGAGTTCCTGCCCGCGTCCGTGGGCCGCCTGGCGCTACTGCGCGTGCTGGAGCTGCGCGACAACCGCCTGAGCGCGCTGCCCTCCAGCATGTCGCGCCTCAAGCAGCTGCACCGCCTGGACCTGGGCCACAACGAGTTCCGCGCCTGGCCGGGCGTGCTGGGGGCGCTGCCGGCCCTCGCCGAGCTGTGGGTCGACCTCAACGACCTGCCCGCCGTCCCGGCCTGGATCGGCAACCTCCAGGCGCTGCAGTGCCTGGACGCCAGCAGCAACAGGGTCTCCGCCATGGCGCCCGAGATCGGCTCCTGCGCGCGCCTGCAGGACCTGCGCCTGTCGTACAACGAGCTGACGCGGCTGCCGTACACGCTGGGGAGGCTCAAGGAGCTCGTCACGCTCAAGGTGAGGGGGAAGGCAGTCTGTGTCTGGTTTGCGACGACCCCAATTCGGTTTGACTCACGAATGATCTGTCTCCCAGGTGGACCACAACTACCTGGACCAGCTGCCCGAGTCCCTGGGCGAGGCGTCGGCGCTGGAGGAGCTGGTGGCGTCGCACAACCAGCTGGATGTGCTGACGCCGTGCCTGGGCTTCCTGCGGCGCCTGCAGGTGCTGGAGCTGGACGACAACGCCCTGGCCGAGGTGCCGTCCGAGCTGGGGTCGTGCCGGTCGCTGCGCGTGCTGAGTCTGCGCCGCAACCGGCTGCAGAGCGTGCCGCCCGAGCTGGGCCACCTGGCCAGGCTGCGCGTGCTCAACCTGGTGGAGAACCGCCTGGCGCACCTGCCCGTCAACGTGCTCAAGCTGTCGCAGCTGCAGGCGCTGTGGCTGTCGCCCACGCAGTCCGCGCCGCTCGTGCAGCTGCACCGCGAGTACGACGTGGAGCAGCGCTGCCGCGTGCTGTCGTGCGTGCTGCTGCCGCAGCGCCTCGACGACGACGAGGACCACCACGTCCGCGCCGACAGCGACGACATGGCGGCGCCCGCCGTGGGCAGGCGGTGCATCCGGTTCTCGCAGGTATGGTGGCTACGATCGAAGGACTTGAACTGAAATCACAAGTTCAACGCCCGGCGAGGGGGGAACAGCTTTCCACATTCGTTGTACAAAATTTGACCACATTCCACATTTAGGAGGCAAAAACGCCTGCAAGTAGGCAACATGTGTGGCAAAAAAGCAAGAAATCTTGCACATTCTTGCACATTCACACAATCATTGTACACAAAATTTTACAGTGGGTCACCCCTCGACGCCCGGTGACCGGAAACTTTTCCTTCTGACAGGATTTGGAGCAGGACCTGGAGCCTGGCGTGCTGCTGCGCGCGCCGACGCCCTACCCGAAGGAGCTCCGCGTGCTGGCCAAGCAGGCCCGTCGCCTGGCGGACCGCAAGCTGCAGAGGCAGCACCAGCAGGACGCCGGCGAGGTGGAGGTCGCCGCAGCCCCGGCCGCCGAGGCGGCCATCCCCGAGGACGCCGTCGTGGCCACGGCCACGGCCACCGCCACGGCCACCGCGGCGCCCTGCGTGCGCGAGGCCCGCGTCAGCCGCCCCCACGACCCGGCCACGCTGTCCAGGACCAACAGCGTGCTGCAGCAGGAGCAGTCGCTGCTGGCCACGCTGGACGAGCGCGACTCCAGGGACGTGCGCGACGGCCGCGCCCTGGAGTGGCTGGACGGCCGGCACCGCTACGACGACGTGCCCAGGGCCACGCCAACGCCCAGCCCCGAGCCGCGCCGCCGCCACCTTGGTGAGGACAGGGACCCTGCCTTCGCACAGTGGGCCAGAAGACCGGCGGAGGCGGCCGAAACTCTAGACGCGTTTTGAGCTCCAGAGTCGCTAAGCAGGACTCGAGCTGAACGTGTGAACCCACCAATGGATTTGTCTCCGAACGAGGAATCCATTGGTGGGGTCACACGTTCTGTTCGAGTCCCATTTAGCGACTCTAGAGCTCAACACGCGTCTAGAGATTTGGCCGCCTCCACCGGCCTTCTGGCCCACTGTGCTTCGGCCTCCCTTTGGAACTCAAAAGCTAATCCCTGTCTGTTTTTCCAGGAGTCGAGGACCCTGCTGACGTGGACCTGCCCAGCCTGCCCCCGACGCCTCCCTGCACCGACGGCCCGGACAGCCTGCTGCACGCCGGCGGGGCTCCCTTCAAGCCCGCGTACGGCTTCACGCCGCGCCGCACCACCTCGCTGCAGCACCGCAAGGACGCCGTCGACCCTACGCACAGCAACGACAAGGAGCCCGTCTACGGCGGCCACCCCAAGGAGTCCATCTACGGAGGTCAGCAACCCAAAGAGTCTATCTACGGAGGACAGACAAAGGAGTCTATCTACGGTGGCAAACCGAAGGAGTCTATCTACGGTGGTCAGCAACCCAAAGAGTCCATTTACGGAGGACAGAAAAAGGAATCTATCTACGGTGGTAAACCAAAGGAGTCTATCTACGGAGGTCAGCAACCCAAAGAGTCTATCTACGGAGGACAGACAAAGGAGTCTATCTACGGTGGCAAACCAAAGGAGTCCATTTACGGACCCAAAGAGTCCATCTACGGTGGTCAGGCACCCAAAGAGTCCACTTACGGTGGTCAGCCACGCAAAGAGTCCATCTACGGAGGACAGGCCAAGGAGTCTATCTACGGAGCGCAGACCTCCGTCGACGACGGGCAGCAGCCCAAGGAGTCTGCTCTCGTGACCGGGGTCCGCGCAGGGTCGCAAGGCGCGGTCGACTCCACCCACGAGGCCTGCGGCGACGGCCCCAGGGACAGGGAACCCCAAGACCATGCCAAGCCAGAGGGGACCTCTGAGCAGTCAAACCAGGGTGCCACTGTGGACTCCATCTACGGCTCCAAGAACAGCCAGCAGGGCTCGCCGTACAGGCAGCGACGCCTGGACCTGCAGCAATCGAAGCACGGTGCGAGCGAGGGAGCAAGAACGCAGCAGGAGTCACCCTTCAGCTCCAAGACCAGTCACCAGGAGTCACCGTATGGCAACAAGACCAATCACCAGGAGTCACCGTATGGCACTAAGACCAATCACCAGGAGTCACCGTATGGCACCAAGACCAATCACCAGGAGTCACCATACGGCACTAAGACCAATCTCAATCACCAGGAGTCACCGTATGGCACTAAGACCAATCTCAATCACCAGGAGTCACCGTATGGCACTAAGACCAATCTCAATCACCAGGAGTCACCATACGGCACTAAGACCAATCTCAATCACCAGGAGTCACCATACGGCACTAAGACCAATCTCAATCACCAGGAGTCACCGTATGGCACTAAGACCAATCTCAATCACCAGGAGTCACCGTATGGCACTAAGACCAATCTCAATCACCAGGAGTCACCGTATGGCACTAAGACCAATCTCAACCACCAGGAGTCACCGTATGGCACCAAGGCCGTTCAACGGCAACCATCATTTAGTAGGAAAGAGCCCCACCAGGATTCGACGTATGGTGGTAAATTGAATCACCAGGAGTCACCGTACGGCACAAAGAATCAACCAGAATCTCATGAGCTGACAGTGGTCAAGAATAACATTCACCAGGAGGCGCATTATGGTTCAAAACTCCAGCCAAACCCAACCACCGAGAAGCGTTTTGTCAAAAACAACATCGAATCAATATATGGGTCTAAAATTCATTCTAATTCTCTCCAGGAATCATCCTATGGGGCTGACAACTCTCCTAAGCAGGAGTCGATCTATGGTTCAAAACAACAACCGAAAAGCCATCAAGAATCCAATTATGGCTCTAAGAATTGGTCGCTTGCAAATCAAGAGAATAATTGCAACCAAGAGTCACCTTACGGTTTGAAAGGTGAAGTGACCCCCTCGCAGAAGTCACTGCATGCGTCACAACGTCGACCCAGTATCAGCCAAGAGTCACCCTATGGTTTGAAAAATGAACCCAACTCGGCGGGTCAGGATGCATTTTATGGAGCGAAAAATGGAAACCAGGAGTCACCGTACCGTTCAAGAAAAAATTCCAACAGCAACCAGCAAGCTAATCATGGTTTGAGTGTTGAACTAAACCACGAATCTCCCCATGGTGCCAGAAATCAAGCAACCTCTCTCCAAGAGTCTGCTTATGGTTTAAAAATGCAGATGAATCATGAGTCAGCGTACACACTCAAGAATGGGTACCAAGAGTCTCCTTATGGCTCTAGAAATCAGCCGAACGCCATGCAAGAAACTGCTTACGGTGCCAGGATTCAACCAAATGTCCTGAAGGAGTCCCCTTACGGCCCCAGGCAACAACCCTCGATGCAGGAGTCTCCTTTTGGTTCAAGAAATCAACCCAACGTCTCGCAGGAGTCTCCTTATGGTTCAAGAAATCAGCCAAACGTTATGCAGGAGTCTCCCTACGGCTCAAGAAATCAGCCAAACGTCATGCAGGAGTCCGTTTACGGCTCACGAAATCAATCAAAATCCATGCAGGAGTCTCCTTTTGCTGCAAGAAATCAATCAAACCCCATGCAGGAGCCGGCTTACGGGTCAAGAAATCAACCAAACGTCTTCCAGGAGTCTCCATACGGTTCAAGAGTTCAGTCAAACGCCATGCGGGAGTCTCCTTACGGCTCGAGAAGTCAACCAAACATCTGGCAGGACTCACCTTACGGCTCCAGGAGTCAACCGACTGCCTTCCAGGAGTCGCCCTACGGCTTGCGAAGCTTGCCGAACACTCCGCAGGACCAGCCGTTCGTGCGGGGCGTGCTGGCCCCCCAGGAGTCTGTGTACGGCTCCAGGGACTCCAGGGGCCGTCCTGCCGGGCCGCCCTTCGGGGCGCACGCTCGCCCCGCCGCCAACGCCGTCCAGGACACGGGCTTCAGGGCGCAGGAGCCGCCCCGCACGCGCTCCAACTCCATCACCGCCGAGCCCGTCTACGGCGGACGCGGCTTCGCGCGGGAACCGCCCAGCTCGATGGAGGTCTACAGCCCCAAGGCCGCCGCCGACCCCGCGCTGGACAAGACGGTCGTGTACAACCCCAGCACGGCCGACGTGGCCGCCACGGGGCTCGTGGTGGAGCCGCTGTACGCGCCCCGCACCCAGGACGCGCTGCGGACGACGCACTTGGACTGCGTCGACGGCCCCGAGCCTCCGACGTTCGGCCCGAGGGGCATCTACGGCGGCGGCAACGCGACCTCCATCTACGGCAAGGCGACGTCGCAGCACCAGAGACGGCCGTCCGTGCCCGAGCAGAACGAGCAGGCCGTCGTCGACCTGCAGCCGGCCTCGCTGCCCGCGGCGTACGGCCGACCGCCACCGCCGCCGGACGGCCCGCGCTACCGACGCCAGCCCAACGCGGCCCTGCCGCCCGCGCCGCCCGCGCCGCCGCCCTACGACCAGGTGCTGCGGCGCCGTGCCGCCGCCGAGCTGCCACCCTTCACGCTGGGCGCAGTGTACCAGCAGCGCGGCGGCCAGGGCCACGGCCAGAGCGTGCACGAGCAGAACAAGCAGATCCAGGCCATGCTCAAGCGCGGCGTGGTGCCGGCCGGCGGGCAGCAGCAGCAGCCCGGCCTGGTGCGCGCCAACGTCGCGCAGTGCCAGGACGACGCCATCGGCCCCGACAGCCAGTACGGCCAGCACCACGCCGTCATCATGCTGTGAGACCTTGCGCGCGGTTTTGAACGCCGGTTCGCCGAGTTAACCGCGAAACTCCGGACAAAATCGGGCGAAAGCGTCCAGCCATGTACTAGAAGAAATACTTGTTCCAACATGCCAGTATACAGTAGCACGTGTAAAGAGTGGATAAGCTCTAGCACGCAAAATGCCATTTAATTGCAGTAATTTATTGTTAAGTTATGTAGGTTAGGTAATTGCTTTCATTTTGTGATATGATCTAAGTGTCCCCTCTGTAAACCCTGCATAGCGCTTTATCTATTCCTCTTTCCTGTGATATGTCGTTCGTTTTCTGTACTTCTCTGAATTAGAGTAAGCGCGCTCAAGGTCGTGGCTCGGACCACATGTTTTATTTTGAATTTCCTTATCATTCGCTCAATTCTTAGCAGTTCTGACGCCATTGCCATCCATCAACACGCCTCTGTCAGCATCATTTCTCGTCAGCCTCCGGGCTCTGCTATTCTATATGTATATCATACTCATACTGTAATGTGTATATTGTTGTGCCACTAATTCTGTGTAAAACTGTTTTTATATTAAAAGAATAAATGGCAGCTTTTCTGTCTTCTCAAACTATTTCTCAGCGTGCTCTCTTCCTAATCGTAACCGGCTCACTGGAGTGCAACAGCATACTCAACTCGCAGGCAGGGCAAGGGTAGCGGCAGCAGGGACACAGTTTGAGGGTTGAAGCGCGTTAAAACGGACTGCGGCGCACAGTGGGCCAGAAGACCGGTGGAGGCGTCCAAAACTCTAGACGCGTTTTGAGCTCCAGAATCGCTAAATAGGGACCGAACCGAACGTGTGACCCCACCAATGGATTGCTCTCCGAACGAGGAATCCATTGGTGGGGTCACACGTTCGGTTCGAGTCCTGTTTAGCGATTCTGGAGCTCAAAACGCGTCTGGAGTTTTGGCCGCCTCCACCGGTCTTCTGGCCCACTGTGCGGCGCTGCGGCGACGCGGCGACCGCCCTTAAGAGCTTTAAACTGCAGGAGGGTTAGGCGGGACTCTGCTTTCTGGCGTCGTTGCGTCTAGTCGTTGCGGTGGCCGCCGCACGGCCGCGCGGCCACACGGCCCCATCCCCAAAGCCTACTTCCTGAGGAGTTGTCTCCCAACAAACTTGAACCGGCAGCGCGGCAGCAGGGCAGCATGGCGGCAGCCTTGGGGGTGAACACGGCGGCCGGGAACTCACAGCCGGCGTCTCGACACCACCAGTCGTCGCTCCGTCTCTCTCGCACTCACGGGGCGGCCCGCAGGGTGCGAGAGAGACAGCGAGCACTTGCTGTATTAATTCACACGCGTTGAATAATGCATCGGCGGGGCTAATTGCAGCTCGAAAAGAAAAAGGGAAGGCAGCGCGCAGCGGCGCGCGGTTCGAGTGAAATCGATGCGATGGGCGCGTTGATTAGCAACACGACGACGTGGTGACGGCGCCACGGCGACACGGCGCGGCTCAGGTGGCGATACCCCCCGCCCCGCCCCGCCAGGCCGCCAGCAGGGGGTAGGTCCGCGGCGACGCCCGCGGCATTCGTTTAGTATCTTTGACATTCGCCCGAGTGCACTCGTAGTCACTAGTATTCCAAGTATTCATAAGAAGCAGAAGCATATTTGTTTTTTCTGCTCGCGAAAGTAGTGATCCTCTAGGATTTGCTGCACCGTCCAGCTCGTTGGTGCGCGTTCGTCCGAGTCCACCATTCGGCCAATCCGATTCCTGGATTCCTGGCCCTTTTCCGGGTTCGAGTGGATCAACGGCAGAAAGGGACTGCGGGGCACTGCGGAGACGAGAGGAACAGAGCCGGGCAGCAGGGCCAGCGCACAGTGGGCCAGAGGACCGGTGGAGTCGGACAAAACTCTAGACGTGTTTTGAGCTCTAGAGGCGCTAAACGGGACTCGAACCGTGCGTGTGCACTCCCAAGATCCTACTGAGCTTTTTCTTCGTAATACGAACAAAAAGCTTAGTATTATGACAGCACAGCGAAGGTAGTAACGTATGGTGAGGGGTTCTCAGTAACTTATGACCAGTTTCTTAGTATTACAAACAAATTTCTTTGTATTATGATAGATTTGAGTTGTAGAGTACTGAGAATTAGCTTAGTATTATGACAGCACGGCATTTCTCAGTAGGAAATTGGGAGTGTGACCCCACCAATGGATTGCTCTCCGAACGAGGAATCCATTGGTGGGGTCACACGTTCGGTTTGAGTCCCGTTTAGCGACTCTGGAGCTCAAAACGCGTCTCGAGTTTTGACCGCCTCCACCGGTCTTCTGGCCCACTGTGCAGCGGCCAGCAGGGGCACGGGGCCGGCAGCGGAGCGGCTCAGCAGGCACGGCACGGCCAGGGCACGGCTCGGCCGGCCCGGTTGTTAGAATCGCCAGATTTACGATGTGACTCGTTATTTTTCATCCCGGTGATCCGACTCAAATCCCCGGGCCAGCCAATTGTATATCGTGGCCCGGCCGCCGAGTCGCCGATCCTGGTAAACAAGCGCCTGGAAAAACAAAACGAAAAGGGAAACGGCGAGTTATCATCGACAACAACAACAAAAACGTGAATTCCGGAGCGACTCGACGAGATGAAAATTCTCCAGCCAGACAGATGCGCCTTCTCGCCACCGGGCCCCTTCGAGTCTCTCGAGTCTCTCGAGTCTCTCGAGTTGGCGGTCGGGTCGGGTCGGGCCTAGAGAGCCCATCCTTGGCCGCGGCCGTGCGTCTTTGTGGCTGCAGAATAAAAGAGAGCTTCCTCTGCCTGCAAAGTGGCGGCCGTTTATCTTTCTCTATGCCCGCAATTTCCGCCAATGGCTGCCTATGCGCGCCATGCGCCGCCATGCGCCCGCCGCGGCGCGCCGGTCTGTCCCTGTCTCTCTCGCACCCGTGCCGTACACGGCGCGCCGGCCAAGAGAGCGAGAGAAAGAGAGAGATCGCTCGGAGTCGTCTGCAGTAAGGCAGGTGGCGCCGCGCCTGACGCAGCCAGGCCGTTGCGGCCATCGACGTCATCGTCGGCGTCCTCGTCGGCGTCCTCGTCGGCGTCCTCGTCGGCGTCCTCGTCGGCGTCCTCGTCGGCGTCCTCGTCGGCGTCCTCGTCGGTGCCAGAGAGAGACGGAACGCCGCGGTGCGTGCGCGCTGCGAAGCGCCCTGATGCCGCCCCGCCACGCCCCGCCGCTGGCAAAACTTTTAAATGACCTAAGGATCCCCGCGCCGCCAGCCACGCCAGCCAACACGGGGCGCTGCCGACCTTAGACCTCCGCACCGGGCTATGCGATGTGTCGGCATTTCATTAAAGCAACCCCCTCGCCTCCCCCTCCCCCTTCCCCCTCTCCCGACGGGCCGAAGAACGGGGGTTGAAGAAAGTCAGGGCCATAAGATCTGTATGACTGCCTGTCGGTGTGTGTGTGTGTGTGTGTGTGTGTGTGTGTGTGTGTGTGAGTGTGAGAGAGTGATTGCGTGAGTGTGTCTGTGTGTGTGTGTGAAAAATATTTCTCAAACTGAACTGTCTGTGTCCGTAAATGCAAATCCATGTAAATGGGGGGCGCCTGCCCGGCCTGCCGGCCTGCCCGCTGTCAGACTCCCCACAGCGCCTGATTAGTAGGCAACCCACAACGCGTGCCCCCGCGAAGGTGGGCGAAATATACACAATTTGCCCTTCGCCCCCCACCCCCCGCGGAGGGCCGGGAAATGCCATATCTCTGGTCGCGAGAGCGAGCGGCTCGTTTCCGGAAGAACAGAATCATTACTCGCGACACCGGCTGTCATAAATCGGCTGGAACGAGAGCGAGGGGGATGGGGGAGGGGAGGGAGAGAGAAGGAAGCGCCAAGGAAGTGCGAAGCGTGCGCCATCGCTACGGTCACGGAGAGGAGTTACCTCTCGGCAGGGTCAAGGGGAAAGGGTTTGCTGAGGGCCGCGTCCCCCCCCCCACCCCTTCCGCGTCAAAGCTCGCGCGGGTAATTTCATAGCGCGGCCGCGCGGTGGGGCGTAAAAACTTGGCCCGGGTATGAGTCCGGCCGGAAGCTATGGCCTCTCTCTCTCTCTCTCTCTCTCTCTCTCTCTCTCTCTCTCTCTCTCTCTCTCTCTCTCTCTCTCTCTCTCTCTCTCTCTCTCTCTCTCTCTCTCTCTCTCCGACCGCTGGTGTCTCTGGTCTCCAGCCCGCTCCAGTTCGCATCGGCCGTACGGCGGACGCCAGCCACGCCAGCGGGCCTCGCCCCAGCGCCCCCAACAGCATACGCCCTTGCCGACGGCTCGATGAAGAAGGAGAAGGAGGAGGAGAAGGAGGTCAAAGGCAGCGCCTGGCCTTGTCATCAAATCAAATGGACGCTTGGACCCGGAAACACGGAGCTTGTCAGCAAGGGGGTCGCGGCCCGGGGCCCGGCCCAGCGGAGCAGCGGAGCGGGACAACAGACCCAACCCTGCGACACACACGCACACACTCACTTTCTCTGTCTCGCTTGCGCGACGGTTCCAGTTACACGCATTATGCATGGGGGAAAAGAGTCCGAAATTGGACTTTGGAAGTGAGTTACAGCCAGTACTGTTTGCAGGCGGGGCAAGTCCCCGCTGCGGGTCGGGCAGGCCAGGCCGGGTCAGCCAGGCCGGGTCAGCCAGGCCGGGTCAGCCAGGCCGGGTCAGCCAGGCCGGGTCAGCCAGGCCGGGTCAGCCAGGCCGGGTCAGCCAGGCCGGGTCAGCCAGGCCGGGTCAGCCAGGCCGGGTCAGCCAGGCCGGGTCAGCCAGGCCGGGTCAGCCAGGCCGGGTCAGCCAGGCCGGGTCAGCCAGGCCGGGTCAGCCAGGCCGGGTCAGCCAGGCCGGGTCAGCCAGGCCGGGTCAGCCAGGCCGGGTCAGCCAGGCCGGGTCAGCCAGGCCGGGTCAGCCAGGCCGGGTCAGCCAGGCCGGGTCAGCCAGGCCGGGTCAGCCAGGCCGGGTCAGCCAGGCCGGGTCAGCCAGGCCGGGTCAGCCAGGCCGGGTCAGCCAGGCCGGGTCAGCCAGGCCGGGTCAGCCAGGCCGGGTCAGCCAGTCCGGGTCAGCCAGGCCGGGTCAGCCAGGCCGGGTCAGCCAGGCCGGGTCAGCCAGGCCGGGTCAGCCAGGCCGGGTCAGCCAGTCCGCCCGGCGGGTAGGCCGCCCAACACGCAGGGCTGTGAGGCACGCGGCCCGGCGCCGCGCGCACGGCGCTCCCCGCCAGCAGGCCACTCCGCGCCACTGCGCGCCACTCCGTCTCACTCCACTACACTGGCCGCCGCCCACGCGCCGCCGGCCCGGCATTACCCGGAGACTGAGGCCACGGGGGCCACGGGGCCACTAGCCGTGACTGGCCGTGACCTCCGCGGGGCCCTCCCGGCTTGCCGCTCGGCTTGCCGACTTGCCGGCGCTCGCTCGCACTAAATTGCCGGTCCGGGAGATCTAGCCATCTAGCCGCTCACTTTGAATGTCTCTCTCTCTCTCTCTCTCTCTCTCTCTCTCTCTCTCTCTCTCTCTCTCTCTCTCTCTCTCTCTCTCTCTCTCTCGCTTGCAGAAGCTAGGCGACACCTTCGTCGCTTTGTCTCTCTCGCACTGGCGAGGCGTTGGGGCACAGGCCGTGCCACAGTGGGCCAGAAGACCAGTGGAGGCGGCCAAAACTCAAGACGCGTTTTGAGCTCCAGAGTCACTGAACAGGACTCGAACCGAACGTGTGACCCCACCAATGGATTGCTCTCCGAACGCGGAATCCATTGGTGGGGTCACACGTTCGGTTCGAGTCCCGTTTAGCGACTCTGGAGCTCAAAACACGTCTAGAGTTTTGGCCGCCTCCACCGGTCTTCTGGCCCACTGTGTGGGGCACGGCCCGTGCGCGGGGTGCGAGGGAGACGGGGCGAGTCGCTCGGAATCGGACCGCCGCGTGAATTACCTGGCGGTCCGCGACGACGTAATGCCCCACGCGGGTGCGAGGGAGACGGGGCGAGTCGCTCGGAATCGGACCGCCGCGTGAATTACCTGGCGGTCCGCGACGACGTAATGCCCCACGCGGCACGCGAGGGCTGGAAGGGAAAAAGGGAGGGGGGGGGGGGGGGAGAGAAGTTGGCTCGAAGACGCGGCGGGGCCGGGAGGGTCCTAATTGCGCAACTTCCTCCAGATGCGCCGCTGATTTTAGACTCCGACCCTCTGGCCCCTCCGCTCTGCCCCCTTCAGCCCCCTCTGGTCCCTCCAGTAACTACCGGCCCGGCCCCGCGCCGAGTCTGGCAGGCGCCGCGCCAGCCCGCCAGCGCACTGATTCCGAGAGTCGTTTTCGTCGCTCTGTCTCTCTCCCACCCACGAGACGTCGCGCGAAGTGCGAGAGAGACAGAGCGATTGAGTCTCGGGGCGCTGTCCCGCCCCCGACCCGGCGCCGGGCCCTTTGCCTGGGCCGCGCACCTCCGGGCGGGCAGCAGGCAGGCCTTCGCCGAGGCCTTCACCAAGTCCGAGCCGCTCTTTGTCATAGCAATGGCCTCCTGCTGCCTAGCAACTTCATAAGTCGAGCCCAAAGTTTCTGATTTTTCTTCTTTCTTTCTCGTTTTCTTCCCTCGGCGCCGGCAGCGGGGATTTTGCTATTCCAACCAACTACTTCCTTTTTGTCTCGATTTTCCTTTGCAGAAGAGTGAAATCGGCGGGCGGGGCGCGCAGGGAGCCAGACAGCTGGAGGCTGGGGTCATCCCGGCGGAACGCTCCACGGAACGCAGACAAGTTTGCCCCATTAGGCGCCTTTCTTGTGCCGCCTGGAGTTTACCTCCTTCCGCGCTTACAGTGTGGCCGCCAATCTGCACATTTAAATGTGAGGCGGCCTGCAGCAGTTCGGCGTCCCGGCCGCCCCGGCCGCGTCCCCGGGGCATCAACGGCCTGAATGGCCACATACAGTGTCCCCTCGGCCCCGCGGGCCGCGGCCGGCCGCACCGACTGGCTGCTCGGGCTGGGCGGCGCCGGACGGCCGGCAGCCCGCCTGGCGGGGCTGGCAGGGCTGGCGGCAGCGAACCCCCCTGTAATACCGCGCATAAAAAAGTTACAATCACCATTCGCAGGCTCCGCAGGCTGCGGCTCGGCGGGCAAGATGACGACACCCGCAGCGCGGCGTATAGTGTAGCGGCCCTCAGCGCCCGCACCGCCGCTGTAAAGGAGCGATTATGTCCCGGCCCAATAATAAAAAAGCAGTGAAAAAAGAAAATCCGACAAATAAGACTGGGCGGTGGGTGGCCGCGGCGCCGACGCCAGCGAACGCCAGCGAACGCCAGCGAACGCCAGCCGCGCCAGGAAAGGAAGCAAAGGAATGGTCCGACTTCCGGCGGGTTATTCTTCCCCACAAAGGATTTCTGGATTTGCTGTTATTGATTCTCGCTCAGCGTTCCTGGAGAGGTCCTCGATCGGCCGCGGCCAAGTCCGGTCGGCCGGGTACTCCATCAACAGACCAATCTGGGGGCAGTTCGTGCTCCATTTCGAATAGGTGGCTTCGGTGCGGCAGAAAAGAACAAAAATACTGCGGCAGTCCAAAATGTTAATTTTTTGGGGAGGAATATAGAGCCAGAACAACCACAAATCGCTTGAGAGCACCAGTCTCGCAAAGTTGGTCAAAGAGTGATTGATTCAACCAAGGTGATTGTGATTAAGTTGATTGCTTCACTGATTAGATTACTAATATGACGTACACTGACTATATAGAGTTCGTTACCCCTTGGCAAGCACATGAAAGGGTTCGTTTGGTGGTTTTGCATCACAGCACAAACGTGTCAGCTGGCTCGTGCTACACAGCCAATAAACCATTCTATAATAGTCGTGGCCGAGTGAAGAACAAGAAGAATCACAAAAGTGTACTTTTTTGCCCTTTTACTTCAAATATTTAATTCTCCTTTCTTGGTAGAAGTTAATGAAAGTATTTTCTAGTAAATGCAACATATTTTGAGCGAATATATGCTCTTTAAATGCCCTAAATGGAGTCTTTTGTGATTCTTCTTGTCCTTCACTCAGCCACGACTGGTCTATCATAGTACGTACAGCTCGGACAGCACACTCGCTCACATGGTTTCTTCTACAGATTCGGAACTATTTGAATAGACCCTTTCAGTAGTCGCCAGTCACCGTTCCTTGTGGTTCCTGGCTATTTGATTGCTTGTGTTCTTCACTCGGTGACTACTGAAAGGGATAGACACTTCCACCAGAACGCCGAGTGAAGAACAAGAGGAAGAAATGGTACTGGAACCAGTTCCCATAAACGTCTTATTTATAGGTTTCGAGGGTTTAAAATCATAAACTCGTCTTTGTCTAATTTTAAACAATTTTTAGAACCCAAATGAACCCATAATATGCACAAATGAGTGACTTTTATGGACTGTTTCCGGCTTTTGTTATTCTTCTTGTTCTTCACTCGGCGACTACTGAAAGGGATTATTGGTGCTGATCGTGTGGGTAAAGCGATCGGTGACGGTCAAACCCTCTCGTCCGGCGCGCTAAAGCCGCCGCTGGCCGCACGCACCGGGCCGGTTGAATGGGGCCGGGCGGCCGCTGGGTCGCCGCGCCGGCCGCCTCGCCTGGGTTGACTCTCCGGCTCGCCGCGCGCCGCGCCACTCGCGCGCGCCAGTTGGGCTTCGGCCGGCGAGGAGGAAGGACGTCCCGCGACGCTGCGCTCCGCCACGCCGCGCCGACGAGCGCTAGACGTCGCGACAACCGTGCCTCCGCGTCACGTTCGGTCACGCTCGTGACACCGTCGTCACGTCGTGACGTCACCGGAAGGATTACCACCCAGCCAAGTGCGGGCAAGGCTGTTGTTGTTTTTGCGGTGTGTCCGCCGAGTGCCCTTACAAAGTGCTGTGCTTAATTGGTCATTAGTTTCTCGATCATGGAAACAAGCGAGTGAGTCGCCCAGTCGACTTTGATCGAAAGTGCCCTTGTGAGTGATTGCCAGCAAGGATTACCCGCCTGGACCTTGGATACGCCGCTAGGATACCCGGCCGGGATTATCTCAGGTAGGACACTGCGAAGACGCGAACGCCGGCATGGCCGCGGCGTGGCCCCCGCGAGTGTAGTGCCCCCCGCAGGTGAGCCTCACACTCCCCGGGACAGGGATTCGGGATGAGAGGGACAGGCGTGCTAGTGCCATTTACGAGGCTGCTGTTGCTGCAGCCCCGAGCCGCGCCGCCCGAGCTGGCAGCCAAGGCGATCTGCCGCAGGACTGCGCTGCTGGCTGGCTGGCTCTGCGGCAGCCTGCCGCCCGGTCGGCCGGTCGGACGAGGCTGGCAGCCGCAGGGCGACCCGCTCAAGAGCGGGCAGCAGGCGAGCGGGCCGGGCCGGGCGAAGCCAGGCGCTACCCGCGCGGCGTTGCCAGATGGCCGCACGCAGCTAGCCCGGCAGGCAGCGAGGCCGGTGCAGCCTGCAGTGCAGGCCCTCTCTGTCTCTCTCGCACCCGCACGGCACGCCCCACGAGTGCGAGAGAGACAGAGCGACGGCTCTCGGAATCAGTCAGCTGCAGCGGCGCGGCCTAGCGCGGCCCGTGTGTGTAAATGTAAACAGGCGTGTTTTGGGTCTCGCCTGCCTCGCCCGGCTCTCCTGCTTGGGACACTGCAGGGGGTGAAGAAGCCAACAAGTGCTTGATGCAAGTCGACATGTTGACACCCCGTCCGCGCGCGCCGACTGTCGACGCATCCGTCAAATGCCCCGTTTCGGCTGCCGTCTCCCTCACTCGCACGCACACTGAGAAAACCTTACAAACTATTTTGGGCCTCACAAAGAAAAGTAGTTTGTATAACAAAGTATGTTCAGCATACATAAGCTTTCAAAGAAAATACTTCGTAATTTACGAACTATTTCTTCGTTTAACAAAGTATTCTAGTTTGTTATATGTATGGTCAAAATACTTCGTAAGGTTTTAACAGTGCACTGTTGCGGGACGCCCCACGAGTGCGAGAGGGACAGAGCGACGATTCAGTCCGCTGGAAGGCGTCGGATGCAGTCGAATGGGGCCCGACGCCGCTGTCCGTCAAATGGGGCATCGCCGCGGCACTTGTTGGAGTCGACGCGCTCGGCTTGCCGTGGGCTTGCAGTGGGGCGGAGCGGCCGCCAAGGACGCCCCGAACGTCTTGCTTTCGGGAGGTGCGCCTGTCGCACTCACACAGTGCACTCACAGCGTCACGTGGGCGACGAGAGAGAGAGAGAGAGAGAGAGAGAGAGAGAGAGAGAGAGAGAGAGGAGAGAGAGAGGAGAGAGAGAGCACGTGAGCGGAGCACGGCTCGAATGGGAAAAACAGCCTTTCTAAGTCCCCCGGGGCGTGGCGCGACGGGTATTTGAACCCACGGGCCCATTGTTGAATCGCATCGAAAGCACACTGTGCGCTCTCTTCCTCCCTCTCTCTCGCACGCGTGCCAGCGATCAGGCGCGACACGGCGCCGCTTGCCGTGTTGAGCGCTCGGCAGTGTTTTGGAGGAGAGAGAGGGAGAGAGATAAAAAGAAGGAGGCGCTCTAACTACGATGCCGGCTTCCTCCTTGGGCACTTCTCCTCCTCCTCCTCGCAGTGCCTGCTCAAGCTTGGCGTGGCCGGGCTGCGGTTGCAGCTGCTCGCTCCGAACGGCGCTTCCTCGTCGCTCCGTCTCTCTCGCACTCACACGGGACGCCCCACGAGTGCGAGAGAGACAGAGCGACTCTTCGGGAACCGGTCTGCCGCTGCTGCCGCTGCTGCAAGCTCAGTCGGAGGGGAGCCCCTCGACCAGCAGACTGATTCCGAGAGTCGTTTTCGTCGCTCTGTCTCTCTCGCACTCATGGGGCGTCCCCTGTAGGTGGGAGAGAGACGGAGCGACGAAAACGACTCTCGGAATCAGTCTCTCTGGCAGTGCGGGCTCCGGCAGGGCTGTGCTTGCCGTGCCTCGGCTCATCTGGGCATGAACCCGAGTGGGAGTGAAGGTGGAGGCAGAGCGAGGCAGAGCCGACGGCCGGGCCGGTGAGGTGTAGGGTTTCAGCGGTGTGTGTGTGTGTGAGTGTGTGTGTGTGTGTGTGTGAGAGAGTGTGTGTGCGTGTGTGAGTGTGTGTGCAGGCGGCAGGTGCCAGGTGTGCAGGCACGCCACTGCCGGTGCGGAGCGCGAAGCACTGCGAAGCCCATCCAGGGCACGGAGCAGCAAGGAAGGGACCGGGGGGGGGGGGGGGGCGTTTTAACGCACTGTGGCGTCATGTCGGCTGCTGCTGGGCCATGCAGAGCCGTGCAGAGCCATGCAGAGCTTGCCGGGTTACGGGCGGCGGCTTATCGCCACAGAGAATGAGTCGCCGGACGGACGGACTGGCCACTGGCCGCGCGGCAGGACAGACAGGCGGACGGACGGCCGTGCGGCCGGACAGACAGACGGACAGACAGACCAGTGGCGGATCCAGAGGCTGCCTGTGAAGGGGCACTTTTTGCTTACTTACAGGGACAAAGTATGGTGGCTGTTTGCCTACTTTTGAGACGGTTATCTAGGTGCCGTGCCCCTTCCCGCGTCCGCGCGGCTGAGACTAACGGACGGACGGACGGACGGACAGACAGACAGACAGACAGACGTAGGCGGGCGCTGCATTTGACAGTTGCCGCCCTCCTGTATTTACCTCGGCACGGCGTGGCGTGGCACTGCACGGCACGGCAGGGCACGGCAAGGGAGATATGAAAAGGGGCCGGACGCGGGGAAAGGACCGAAGAGGGGGACGTCGAATCCTTCCTGCCAGCTTGCTGCTAGCTTGCTAGCCATGTCTCGGCAAATCCCGCTGGCGAAGCAGCAGCGCAGCAGCAGCGCAGCAGCAGCGCAGCAGCAGCGCAGCAGCAGCGCAGCAGCAGCGCAGCAGCAGCGCAGCAGCAGCGCAGCAGCAGCGCAGCAGCAGCGAAGGGCTCTCCACAGTGGGCCAGAGGACCGGTGGAGGCGGCCAAAATTTAAGACGCGTTTTGAGCTCCAGAGTCGCTAAATGGGGCTCGAACCGAACGTGTGACCCCACCAATGGATTCCTCGTTCGGAGAGCAATCCATTGGTGGGGTCACACGTTCGGTTCGAGTCCTGTTTAGCGACTCTGGAGCTCGAAACGAGTCTAGAGTTTTGGCCGCCTCCACCGGTCTTCTGGCCCACTGTGGGCCTCTAGCCAGGCCCGGAGGCAGACAGGCCTCGCAGGCCCTTGTCCGTCTTCTGTTCGGCCGGATTTCTTGCCGCTTCATAACGACGGGCTCAGAGATGATGCTCTTTTTTTGGCGGCCCCAGTACCCGCAGGCTGCTTCCGAACGATGCAGTCGTCTCTCTCGCACCCGTGGGGCGCCCCGCGGCCGAGTGAGAGAGACGGCGCGCGCGGTTCGCAATCGGCCGGCCGGCTCAACAAAGGGTCAGCGTGATGCGGAGCGGAGCGGATAGTTTGCGGATCAGGGGCGGAGCGGAGCGCGGGGAGCGGCACGTCTCGGTTTGCCCAGCCCACCTGCAGACGCAGAGTCGTTTTCGGCGCGCCGTCTCTCTCGCTCTCGTGGGGCGTCCCGTGCGGGCGCGAGAGAGACGCACGGAAAAAAAATATTTCGCTATTTTAGCGAACATCTGTTTGCTGAAGGAAAATTCCCTGGAATAACGAGCAAATTCGCTATTTCAGAGCATTTAGGACTCTGATGTAGCGAACTCTTGTTCGCTGTTCTACCGATAAGTTTTTCCTTACTAACGCAACGAACATGTTTGCTAGATATGCTAAAAGTGTTCGCCAACATTGGATTCATGCGTGTTTTGTACCTTGTGGGGCTTTCTAAGCCAAGAGGAGGACTCTAGCCTATTCCCACAGTAAGTCTTGGTGGTCTGGGGGTACAGCACGAATCTCAGAACCTGTAAGTTGAAGGTTCGATTCCAGCTCGGAGTGGGCGAGAGAAGATAATTGTATCCTGGTTGAGGGTAGAAGACCGCTCTAAATCCTCTTTCTACCATCTTTTTGTGACAAGACTACGAAATCATGGTCATTATATCAGCGAAAATTGTTACCTATCCCAGCAAACAAAATGTAGGTGAAAAATTTTCGCTGTAATAGCAAACAAATTCTTTGCGCCATTAGCAGGTGACAAAAATTCGCTGAAATAGCAAAAAATTCGCTAGATTAGCGAAATCTTTTTTTTCCGTGCGGAGCGACGAAAACGACTCTCGGAATCGGTCCGCTGGGCAGCGCGCTGGGCAGCGTGCTGCCGGAGGCCGAGGCCTTGGACGTCTAGGACGACCGCGGCACAGTGGGCCAGAAGACCGGTGGAGGCGGCCAAAACTCTAGACGCGTTTTGAGCTCCAGAGACGCTAAACAGGACTCGAACCAAACGTGTGACCCCACCAATGGATTCCTCGTTCAAAGAGCTATCCATTGGTGGGGTCACACGTTCAGTTCGAGTCCCATTTAGGGACTGTGGAGCACGAAACGTCGCCAGAGTTTCGGCCACCTCCACTGGTCTTCTGGCCCACTGTGCGCGGGTCGCCTCCGGGGCCTCAATTATGCCGTCGTCGATCTCGAGCGTGCCTTACAGTGCGGGGCCCTGCCCTAGGGTAGGCGGCCACGGCGGCCAGGTGAGGACGGCGTGGACGGGGCGCTGGGCCGCCGGGTCGACGGCCACCTGGTGGGGCCCGCGGGGGGCCGGGCGTGGTACCGGCCCGGCTAGTTGGCGGTAGAGTCCGTTCCGAACGTTTTCGTCTCTCTGCCTCGCTCCTGGGGCGTTCCGTGCAGGAGCGAGAGGGACAGCACCACTCCCTCAACCTGCGCAGAGCGGCGCAGAGTCACGGTTGACCGGCGACGCGCCTCCGACGCCGCGAGCAGGTGAGCCTCCCCTCCCCCCTCCCCTGCGCTTCCGACTTAAGTCTGCTGAGCCCCACCCCGGCCCGGCAGGCCCGACAGTCCCGACTACCACGCTAATGCGCCAAGCCAGCGAAGCAGCGAAGCCCTGACCTGCGTCGGCGGCACGGCCAGGCACGGCCAGGCACGGCCAGGCACGGCAGCACCGCCACTAGCGCCGGCGCTC